ATGAACGGGTTCATTAATTTTAGTAAACTTGATTATCATAGTAGAGCAGTCACATAAATAGATCATCGCAAACCTTTTGTATTAATGAACGAGGAAGTTAACAAGAACAAATACCAATGGAAATGTTGATTACAAGAGTACTTACAACAAATTGGATGATACAACTTCGTATTATGCAACTATACATGCTTAAGAATGCTACTCAACTAAGAGGGAAGGAGGAGAAGTAACCACAAGATGAAGGATTCGTCAAATTTTAATAACCTTGATTATCATGGTAGAACAGTCACAGAAATGGATCACCACATATCTTCTTTATTAATGAACTGAGGAAGTTAACAAGAACAAATACCAATAGAAGTGTTGACGTCATGAGAAACTTTAAGTTCAAGTCACTGAAATATAGAATTCAATAAAGAAGTAAAAAAGGGAGAAAAAAATAAAAAACAAAAAAAACAAAAAAAAAAGAAACGAAAAAAAACTTTGCCTATAAAGAAAGGTATAACAACAAACAATTCTATGCACATCTACTTTTTATTTGTCATTCATCTTATGTATCCATCAACCATGTAAATTCTATGGGTCCCTCAGAGGCTTCTGAGTTGAAACTTCTTATAGTCCTAGTCCGAAATAAAAAACACCTGGTATGACTCAACTTTCTCACAGAGTCTAAAGCTTACCTTTTTTTTTAAAATGAAATGCTCCTAAAAAAATTTATTTAGAAGAAATGACAAAATAGGGACAGTTTGAGATAAGAGCAACAAGAAATAATACACTTGGTATGAAGCAAAAGAATTGTCAAAACATGACAAATAGTTCTTCTACTGTAAAACTTACAAACATTTCTAGAACCACCAAAACAGAACATCAACAAATTAGAGGATTCAAAAGCTTTCAAGAAAGACATTCTCCTCAGAAATTAAGATTAAACATACTCGCAGTTACTGATACTGCACCATCATATGCAGGTTAACAGATAAGTTTAACAGAAATAGAGAGAGGTTTGTCTATAATAGATATAACTTAAACTTCCATCATTAATTAATCCACCAAATCAAAGTAAATTAATAAATTAGTAATAATTAGTAGAAGAAAGATAGCGTCTTGGTTCCATAGAAACGAATACTCCACAAAACTTAGTACAAGCTTAGAAACTAAGAACTCATGTCCAAGAACTTAAATCTTCCTAACTAATAGAGGGTACAGACTTAAAAGGCACTTTCAAGAACGAATTTTGCTTTTAAGAATTCATATATATCTCAATTATCTGGGAATATCCTTTTAGCTAAGAATACAAAAGCAAAGCATAACATGTCCAAAACACAAGTTTTAGTATCAAAGTCCAAAATTGACTGGTAACCTAGAGGAGAAAAGTTGAAAATTTCAGAACCCAGATCGTTAAAATCAACTGCACAGACAATGAGAGAATCATACCTCAAGGCCGTTGGCTTTTTTGAGTGATAGAGAACAAAGAATCAATGTCATCACAGAATGACAACAACAATAGTTTCCAATTTAGTGATTTACTAAGGATTGTGAACATAAAGCCAATTGTGAACTTATAGTTTCTTACCAATAAAATTAGCATTGATAAAAATGCTTTATAAATGAACAAGGTTATTACTCCTTCTCCATAGAGCTAATTGTTGCCTTCGAAAAACTCTTTCAACCGAAGATTTCTGGAATCAAGGATTCTCATGTTCAATTAACATTCTCTGTGTTCATTCAATGACTGTGTAAGACGAAATTTCGCCAAGTTATGAAAGAATTATTGTATGTATTATTCACATGATACATTGTGGTATTTATAGTACAATAGTGTACAACCCTAGCCGTCTACATAGGAAACCCTAATTAGGGTTTTGATTATTTTCCTATTCTATCATCTCCCCCACAATCGTAGCAGGAGAAATAATCATGCCTAGATTGGTTCTAAACAAATACAATTTATCCTTAGGTAAAGATTTGGTAAAGGCATCTGCAAGCTGGGATTGTGAGGAAATATAAAGGACCCGAAGAAGACCAGCAGCAACACGTTCACGAACAAAATGAATATCTAGACCAATATGTTTGGTGCGAGCATGATTAACCGGATTTGCAGCTAGGTATGTAGCAGAAACATTATCACACAAGATGACCGGGCGATTAGATAGAAGATTCTCCAACCACACGGATTCAGCCAACGCAGAGGAAATAGCTGATTGACTAGTGAGGAACCAGAAAAACACAAAAACCAGTCGTAGAGCAGCGAGTAGTAGGGCATCCAGCCCAATCAGCATCGGCATACGCAACAAGGCTATCAAGGGGGCCAGCACGGAGATGTGTACCATAGTAAAGTGTGCCCTTAATGTAACGGAGAATGCGTTTGACCGCGTGAAAGTGCTGCTCACGAGGATCATGCATATGTTGACAGACAAGATTAACCGCATACTGAATATCCAGTCTGGTGAAAGTAAGATACTCTAATGCACCCACCAAGCTCCGATAGAGAGTCGGATTGTGAAAAGGCGGAGACTCATCAACCGAAAATTGAAAAGCCAGAGCAAGTGGAGTTGCAACTGGATTGGCATCGGTGAGATGACTACGAGCAAGCAACTCTTCAGCATACTTGCGTTAGTGTAAAAACCAACCACCAGAGTGAAGAGCAACAGAAATACCAAGAAAATAGCTGATTGGACCAAGATCCGTCATTGTGAAAGCTCCTTTCAGCGACTGAACAATAGTAGTGAGGAGATGATTGCTGGAAGCTGTCAAGAGAATGTCATCAACATAAAGTAACAGAACTGCCATATCCGATCCAGAAGAGTACACAAACATAGAAGTGTCTGAGCGACTGCCTTTAAAACCCTGTGTGAGCAGAAAAGCAATGAAACGATGAAACCAAGCTCTGGGAGCTTGCTTTAAGCCATAAAGAGCTTTGTTCAACCGACAGACATAGTGAGGATGGTCTGGATGAACAAAACCAGTAGATTGTTTCATATAGACAATTTCTTTAAGATGACCATGCAAGAACGCATTTTTAACGTCCAACTGATGAACGTTCCATTTTCGAGAGGCAACAATACTTAAGACAGTCCGAATTGTCACAGGTTTAACCACCGCACTAAACTTTTGGTCATAATCAAGTCCAGGCTACTGATTGTAGCCTTGAGCGACCAAACTTGCCTTACACCGATCAAGAGAGCCATCAGATTTTAACTTGACTCGAAAAATTCATTTGGAGCGGATAATATTGGCAGAAGCAGGGGGAGGGACTAAGTCCCATGTATGATTAGTGATGAGAGCATTAAATTCGTCATTCATAGCGGCATGCCATTCAGGGTATTTATCCGCTTCAGTAAAGGATTTTGGTTCATTAGGAGTGAAGAGGATGTAGAGGTAGCAGTAAGAGAGAGTATTTTTTTGGGCTTACGAGTACCATCACGAGTTTTAGTGACCATATGATGAATAGGGGGATTCGAAATGGGAGGATCCGAAGTATGTGACAACGAAATGGAAGGTGTGGGTGCAGATACTAAAGGAACGGATGACACATGTTTTTGTGAAGGAGAAGCAACCAATGGAGAGGATTCTGATGAAGGGAGGGATCGTGAAATAAGGAACGAGGGATTTTTAAAAGGAGATTGGGGAGGATTGTTTTGGGGAACCGAAGAGAGTTGAGGAAATGGAAAAGAGGTTTCATCAAAAACGACATGACGGGAAGTATAGACTTTCTTAGAAATGGGATCAAAACAACGATAGCCCTTATAAGATTCAGGATAACCAAGAAAGACACATGGAGCGGAGCGAGGATGGAGCTTATGAGAAGCTAAATGAGAAAGATTGGGAAAACAGGAACACCCAAACACCCTTACGGAACCATAGTTAGGTGGGTGACCAAAAAAAAGAGAGAAAGGAATGGCCCCATTTGTAGATTTAGTAGGTAAACGATTTAACAGATAGACACTAGTATGTAAAGCCTCTAGCCAGAATGCATGGGGTAAGTGAGCTTGATGCAGAAGCGTGCGGATCATATTGATTAGTGTTTTATTCATGCGCTCAGCCTTGCCGTTTTGTTGAGGAGTGTACGGACAAGAGATACGTATTGTGATCCCCTTAGATTTAAGAAAAGACTGAAGATAATGAGAATGAACATATTCAACTGCACCGTCAGACTGAAGAGTTTTGATGGAAGCATTGAATTGAGTTTGAACAAGAGTATAAAATTCAACAAACTTTTGAGGAACCTCTGATTTATTTTTAAGAGGATACACCCATAAATAATGAGTGAAATCATCAAGAAAGAGTACAAAATACTTGAGACCACTAAAGGAATGACACGGAGAGGTCCGAACATCTGTATGTATAAGATCAAAAGCACTAAAAGTAACCGAAGAAGAAGGCATAAAAGGGAGCTTATGATGCTTCCCAATTTGACAAGCCTGACAAAGACTAAGTTTATTTGAAGAGATGAAGGAGCCAGGAAGACTCCGACTGGACACTAAACTGGACAAAACAGAGGCATTTGGGTGACCAAGGCATTGATGCCATAATTGAGAAGAGACGGAAGCAGCAAATACCGGACAAGACGGAGAAGACGGTGCAAGGGATGGATGGAGCAGTGAGGGCGGAAATGTATAAAGGGAACCAGTACTATTGCAACGTAGACGAGGGGTCCTCGTCCAAAGATCTTTCATAGAAAAACCAAAAGGGTCAAACTCAACAGAGCATTGATTTTCAGTGGAAAATTGACGCACAGAGATTAGATTTTTTGTAAGCGAAGGAACATGGTAAACATTAGAGAAACGAAACTGAGAACAAGAGAGTTGACCAACGGATTGAATAGGTAAAGAATGACCATTACCAATAATGACTCGAGTAGAACCAGTATAAGGTTTTAAATTAGCAAGAGTACCTTGAGAGGGAGTCATAGTGTTACCACAAGTAGTGTCCATATACCAGGAGGAATTAGCAGATGGGGGAATAGAAAGGTGATTATTGTGACCCCCAAAGTAAGCGGGCTATTGAAATTGATAGCAATCTCGAGCAGAGTGATTGAATTGATTGCACAATTGGCAACGAACAGCAGTGGGATTGGACTGAAAAGAGGGAGCCGGACCAAGAAGAGATGGAGCACGTTGCCTGGGAGTAAACATAGAAGCTGTATAAGAGTTAAAAGGTGTAGAAAATGAGGAGGGATACTGACCAAAAAATTGGTTGTGGACGGCCACGTCCCCGATTATTCTGAAAACTGCGACCCCGCCACGGCCACGATTGGAAGACTGCTGCTGTTGAGAAGGGGTATTGGACTGCTGCTGGGAAAGGTCAGTGGAAGATGCCGCGACCAGAGCGTTGGTAGCCGTGGAGAGGGAAGAAGGAGCAATGTGTTGAAGTTGTACTTCATGCAGGAAGAGCATTGATCGAGCTTCAACAAATTTGGGTAAAGGAACGCGATGGCTAATGGTAATAGAGACAGACTGGTAGGTCGAAGGAAGACCAGCCAGAATTTGAAGCACCAAGTCATCGTCGGAGATGGGAGAACCGACGGCTGTTAATGAATCAGCCAACATCTTAAGCTTGGTAACATACTCATTAATGGTTAATTCCCCTTTCTTTAAGCTATGAAACTCCAATTTCAGTTGGAGAAAGGGGGAACCAAGCTGATCGTGGTGAGCCACGCATTGCGGGCAGTAAAGGAAGAATTAGGCCGAACAATGGCTTGCAAAATTTCGGTGGAAATAGTGGCTTGGATCCAGGAGAGGACAATGGAGTCAATTTGGATCCAAGTTCAAAAGGCAGGATTTAGAGTGGATGAGGAAGTGCCGTCAGAGGCAGTGAGAGTTGATGGAGGACAAGGATCGGAGCCATCGATATGACCAATCATGGCATGGTCGCGAAAAATAGGAAGAAAAAGCTCTTTCCATAGCATGTAGTTTGTGAAATCCAGAACGGGAGTCACATAATTCTTGATGTTAGAGAGACCAATAGCCGGATGAGAAGGTGGTGTCGGAAAAGAATTGGTTGTCATGGCCTCGGTTGATTGAAGATCAGTTTGTTGGGAGACAGCAGAGGTCACGGCGGAGTTCGTCATAGCAGCAGGGATTTGTGTGTGTGTGTGTGTGTGTGTGTGTGTTTTTTTGAAAGAACCAAGCCTGTCTGGACTGATTTACAGAAATAAAAAAATTTTAGGGATAATTTTTGTAAATTAAAAAAACTATGGGGACTGATTTGGAATTTTCTAAAAATTTAAAGGACTGAAACTGCAAAAAATGAAAGTTGGCAAATCTTCAGCAGGATTTTGTGCAACAGCGGCGGGCTGTGTGCGAAAAAAGAGAGGGAGCAGGGTTCTGTGCAAAAAAACCGAAACTATGGGTTGTGATAAAGAAACAGTTGACAAAGGAGGAAGAATGGCAGAGGGGAGGATTGTGTGGAGGCCGGAAATCAACACGAGATAAACAGCAGCAGCGGCCGGAGAGAGAGGGAGCAGCCGCCGGCCGAAAGAAAACGGACACCTACGGAAATCAGGAAGGGGAGCCGTCGGCCGGGTTCGATGTTGGGATTGTGTGATTTTGTGTGTTGGCTATGGGATTTGGAGCGTTGGCGGTTCGGCAGAGAAGGAAACGGATGGCAAGAGAGGAACAGTGTCAGCCGGCAAGAGAGAGGAAGAAAAGAAAGCTGACGGCGGAAGCCCTAAAAAAAATTGAGAGGCCAAGAAAGAAGGCTGATACCATGAAAGAATTATTGTATGTATTATTCACAAGATACATTGTGGTATTTATAGTACAATAGTGTACAACCCTAGCCGTCTACATAGGAAACCCTAATTAGGGTTTTGATTATTTTCCTATTCTATCAAGTTATACATACTATGTAATATGATTACATGAACAAAAACTATTTAGGCAACATCTTCAACGGAATGATTCCTGTTGATCAACAGCAACGTCGTATATGCTTCCGCAAAAAGCATGGCTGATGGCCCTTTAAATATGTATCTCTCTAATCTTTGAGAGCTTTTTGATTACTGAAAAGTATAGTGTCCTGAGTTTGAAGACGAAATTTCTTTCTGAGCGGTTGGGGAGTTTCGAGAATTCTTCCTTTGGACCTTTGATTATTGAGCAATCCGGCAACAATCTATGTCAGAGACCGTATATGATGCAGAGTATATTCATAATTGGGTCATGGAAGCTACTTTTAGTTCCTCTACTTTCTAAGGTTGAAGTGGCCTAAGAATTCACCTTTTGCCCTTGAAAGATGGACTACAATTATTGTTTCAAATTCGATTTCCATGAGTCCCTGAAAGTTGACACTGCTGCTTGGACTATTAATGATGTTCTTCATAAAGCATTGTAGACAATAGCCCAAAGGTAAAGACAGGAATTTCAGCAAATGGCACTCGAACTTCTCTATCAGAAATATGGTACAATTATTATACTTACTCTATAATGTCTCCAACCTTAAGATCTGCCAAAAAATCCTCGTTCTATGTTATGTAACCAAATACTACATTTAACGTCCGTCTAGGATATTGGCATTGTTTGGATTAGTTCAAGTTGTTTTAGTAACCAAAATATTTTGCTTAAAGCCGAGTTTTCAAAACTCCTGTTATTTGAAAAAATGTTATTCAGCACATTAGGTAGTTGATAAACTACTTTTCTAGCCATGGCAATAGTCCCAAATGTATTTAACATGTGAATATATATTCTAGAATTTTCTAAAATAGGGTTCTCTTGTAATGTATATATATCACATTTTTGTATCGTCACATTCACTTTAATACAATCCATTATTTGAGTGAATGGACTTTGTTTGAGCTTAAAAATCCACTTGCAGCCTATTACATACTTGTCAAGGTGGAAGATCAGTAATGGTTCAAGTCTGATTCTCTTCTAAGGCTTGTAATTCTTTACTCAAAGCAGCTTTCCATTCAGGGATTCTTCGAGCTTGTGCATAGGAGTATGATTCACAAATCTCGAAAATGTTGGTGAGAAAGGACCAATAAGAAAGATGAATATTAGATCACTAATATATGGATATGTTGGTGGAGGAGTAAACTCTGGTTGACTGTTACTGACAGTGAATGTATAGTAGTCATCTAACCGGATTACTTGTGTTTAAGTCTGAAACTGACTCTAGTAGGTGATGGAATATGTGAGATAGGGGAAACATATGGTGGAGATGGAATGTTATCATATTCAAGTAGAGGAGATTGAGATGATACATGTGAAGATAAAGATTGAGAGTCCTGGTGATCATCATTAGAGCTGACAATCTTTGACACGACTCGGACTTTCGACAAGAATTCGACACGAAATAACCCGACACGAACCCGACACGCATAATAAACAGGTCGGATTAGGGTTGAAAATTTGGACCCGTTTAATATACGGGTCAGGTTAGGATCGACCCGGCGGGTTACCCGAGTTACCCGCAAACATGTAAATTATGTCTACTGTAGGGGTAATTTGGGAATTTTTCTCCCATCCCAACCCTAATTGCAGGTCATATATATACTCCTCATTCTTCATCCGGCACAAATTTTCCATTTCCCTCTAGGGTTTCTGCCTTCACCATCACGGCGGCTCCGATTTTTTCCAATTTTTTTCCTGTTCTTCACAAATTGGTGTTCCCCAATCCCCGCTCACCAATCATCATCTTCAGTTCTTCGTGGCGGTCTTTTCCTCCTCCTTCTTCTTTGTGTCGGTGTTTCCCGATCATCAATCATCAACCTCGCATCAACGGCGGCCCGCTTCTGCTGCTCAAGTCCTGGTTGTTTCTACTAAATCGTTAACTCGATTCTAATTAATCATCATCTTCCATCTATTTTCCTATTGTTTTCTATTTTCTTTGTACTTGTTGGTTAATTTCTTTGAATTAGTCTGAAAATTATTTAGGTTTGGCCACTTGTGTGTCTTTAGAAAAACACAATCGTGGCGACGGTGTTCTGTGTGTGCATCGGTGATGGATCTGGGATTAGTCCCTTGTTGGCTCTTGTCTTATTTTTTCTTGAATTGTAAATTTGTTAGTTGGCAATTAGCAATTAGTTATGTTTGAGCATTCATGGATGATGAATGGATCTATTACTATTATTATCACAGTTGTTTAAGGCTCAGTTCTCTGCTCTTCGTTTTCGTTTTGCAATTTGTCTAAATAAATTTTTTTCTTTACGGGTTAAAAAGGTCGACCCAGGTCGACCTGGTTTATAAAAGGTCGAGTTAGGGTTGCAAATATTGACCTGTATAATTAAACAGGTCGGGTTCATATTGACTATAATTTGTTCGGGTTCGGTTTCAACCCGACCTGATAACCCGAACCCGACACAAATTGCCAGCCCTAACCATCATATGAATCAGACATGATAGGAGTAATATCTGAGGAAATGAGATGATCTGAAAAATTCAAAATAATTATCTAACGAAGTAATGACTGGTAATGGCACCTGAGACATATCAGTAAACTTTGATTGATAAGGAAATATGTGTTCCTTAAAGATCACATCTCTGGAAATATAGACCGTGTCGTTTTCAAGATTATAGACCTTATAGGCTTTCTGCCTTACAGGATGTCCTATAAAAATGCCTTTAAAGGCTCTTGGTTCAAATTTATCCTTATGTGGCTTTTTGCTTGTGATGAAAGACAAACAACCAAAGGTTCTTAGATGATTGTATCTAGGAATGGATCCAAAAAGGATTTCATCAGGTGATTTCTAATCTAGAAAAATAGTTGCAAGCCTATTGATAAGGTGAGTGGCTGTCAAAATTATATCTCTCTAGAATTTCTTGGGCAATGATACTTGAAACATGAGAGTCCTAGCTACTTGGAGTAGATTTTTATGTTTACATTCAACAACACCATTTTGCTCTAGTGTGTATGCACATGATTTCTGGTGTAAAATACCAAGTTTAGAGAATAAGAGCTTACATTCATGATTGACAAACTCAGTGCCATTGTCGGTTCTAATAGTTTGAACTGATTTCTGAGTAATAGTCATAGCAAAGAAAATTTCAAGAATTTGCGTGACAAAGATTTTATGTTTGATCAGGTAAGTCCAGGTACATTTACTAAAGTCATCCACAATAGTAACAAAGTAATGAGTTTGGGAGAGATTTGCATGTGAATATGGACCCCATAAATCAAGATGGAAACAAGAAGTAGTGTATGAATTACTAACAGGAAAAGCAAGTCTTTGCTGCTTAGCAACATGACAAATCTCACAGACAAAAAAAATTAAAAAATTCTTAGGTACATCAAAGCTCAAAATCCTACTAAGTTGTTTAACAATAGGAATTGAGGATGACCTAGTCTTTGATGCCACTGAGTATTCAAAGCTGTATCTAATTTTATTACATTCAGGAGCTGTAATGGTTGAACAACAAATGGTTGAATGAAGAAGTAAATGTGGTTAATGAAGCTACTTATTTCATGATTTCTTGTTGATCAAAAGAATCTAGAGGGCATATAGATCTTGGAAAATTGTGCCAACCCCAATGATTTCATTAATCTTGAGGTCTTGTATAACACACAATTCAGCGGAATGTGAAATACAATTTTGCTGATTGTGCTAAGGATCTCACAGAAATCAAGTTATACTTGAAAGTTGGCACATATAGGACATTATAAAGGTTGACTCCGGGATTTATTTCTATTGATCCAACCTATTGAACATGTTGTACACATACTCCCAGTTGCACCTGTATCAAGGAACCATAAATGCATAGGTATTTTACAAACAATTTTTCATCTAAGGTTTTACAGAACTACCTGCAAAGTCACTCGAAGCAAAGTTGACAAATTGAGGTGCAGAATCTGCTGGTCCTTTCCCCTTGAGTACCTTGCTAAATTCCTGCTGTAACTTGTTGAACTGTATAGCCATCACATTCAGATCATAAATTGATGATTCTGCAACAAACAAAGGAGTTTCAGTAGCTGCTACATGTGCAAAATTCCTAGTAGTCTGTGGCTTAATTCCCTTCTGTGCATTTTTCCTTTCCTGCAACCACTCAAGAAGTCCATTTATCTTGAAACAGGTTGCTATTTCATGACCATTTCTCTGGCAGTGAGTACAGAATCTTGTCATAACCACTGGCTTCTTCCTCCTGAATTGACCTTGAGATCTAGCCAGAAGTGCTAAGTTATCACTTGTACCATTATCAGAAGACGGATTATCAGGGGATGAAACCTTTCCTTGATTACCAGAGGATGAAACCATCGCTTGAGACTGCGATTTAACCATAAAAATAGAGTTTTCAACATGCAATTCAGGATCACCTGGAACTTTCTTCTCTGCCTTAGACAACATGTTATAAGCCTTGTGCACAGTGGGAGGTGGATCCATCATCAATATCTAATCTTTTTTAGTTTTATAACACTTATTCGGTCCAATTAAAAACTCAATTAGCTTATCCTCATTATCCTTGGCTTCCGAAACCTTAGCAACATCAGGAGTACAACTAGTAAATGGTCTATAACGTGAATATTCATCCCATATATTTTTCAGAGAACTAAATATTTTATCAAAGAATGTCACCTTGTAGAATAGCAATACGTTCCTGTCTCATTCTATAATGAGTATGACTATTAGAAGTTCCATATTCCTTAGCCAAATTCTCGCACAATGCTTGAGCACTAAGGTCATGCGTATAGCTATCAAACACATTAGAACTTAAAGTAGCAATAATCCAAGACTTAACGGTGGAATCCGCTCACTTCCACTGTTGATAATCTGGTGATGCCGGTGAAGGACTAACACAAGCGCCGTCGATAAATCCGACCTTCATCTTGCACTTAAGAACGGTCCTCATCGATCGACTCCAAACAAGGTAGTGAAAGGAGCTGAAACCAGCATCATACTTGGATGCACAGATGCGTGAAGAGTCAGCGTATCATAATGAGGCCTCCAATTCACATTTCCATAAACCTGCTCTGCTCTCCGAACTTCATCAATTTTGTGATCCGCCATGATTCAGAACCAAAAACAATTTACTCTATATATTATCATATTCTAATTCCCAAATCGGAAACCATTCCAGAACCTAATTTCTATCGGGTCAAGCCATCTCTTCCAGTTCGAAGTCCACCATCTCTTCCAGTTCCCAATCCACCACCCCAAAATGAAAAAAAAAATTGAAGACGGCGAATGAAATCGTAAAATAGTGAAATAGAAGGAAGAAATCCAAGCTCGTGAAATTGTGAAGCAGAAAGAATCGTCATGAACACTGCCAGTGGAAAGAAATCTTCACCGACGCCGACACAGGTGGAAAGCAGAAGGAATCGTCGACAGCACCGCCTGACAGAAATCTTCACCGACGCCAACGCAGGTGGAAAGCAGAAGGAATTGTTGACGCTGCTGCCAGAAAGCAATCTTTTCTCCAAACTTTTTGCTGCAAATCGTTCACCTTTGAAAGTAGATCCTGCTGCCTATGGCTACTCATAGTCAAACAGTCTCTTTTGGGAAAATGGTGATAGAGAATTAAAATTGTGGCAAATGTTGGAGGAAAGACATCCTAATTCCATTGGTATCTCATGATTATGCAGGGTGTCTCTATTATAGATGTCTAATTCATGGGTTTTTTAAATGGTTTGATCCGCCAACACCGAATCTGGGTCGAATTCACAAGGGATTCGCAGAAGAAATTTCATAACTGGTGAATCGGAAGATGGGATTGAGCAAAATAGTCAAGGCAAAGAGGAGGGTATGGAGCAGGTTGGTCAAGAATTTGTATCGGGGAATTACAAAATTGTCGAGAAGAAACCCAAGCTTGAATGCTGCAAGTGCAAATCGAAATTGGATTCGATTCTGTTTGGTTTATTTGCAGGGTTTGTTGTTAATGTCATGATTTTTTTCTTTTTGCTGGTCGTACTGTGTAAGAAGAAGTAAATTGAAGTTCCAATTGCACTGGATGAGGTAGATTGAGTAGTTTTGCAAGGTTAAAAATCCTTGTTGTGTAAGATCTTGAACCAGTATTTTGGCTCTGTTTATTTTGTGTTGTGAGGAGTTTCTTTTAGTCTAGACGAACTAAATAGAGTCAATGTTAATCTAGGCTTATAAATGGTTTTGCGTAGTGTTCTTGGGTTCAAACTGGATAACCCTAGGGCTGTCAACGACCAAGTCAAGCCCAAACAGTAAGGTGCTAGATCTCGAGTTTGACAAAAACTTTAGAGCTCAATACGAGTTCTAACTCGGTCGAACATCTAACTTGAAATTTGAGTTTGGCTTGAAATAAAGACAAATACTTCGCGCTCGGCTCAATTGGCTCGATTTTTTGTGTTCGCTAAAGATTGTCGTATCTTTCTTGTCAACACGTTCAATTTATGTTTTTTTATGAATAAAATTCTTTGACAATAATAAAAAATATGTATATCCTTTTTTTACATCTTCTAAATATAAATGACAATAAAAAAACACGAATTAAATATTATTCATATTAAAAATAAATTAATTTATTATAGGCTCGACAAGCTCTCGAATCAAGCATTTTAAGACTCGTGTTCGACTCTTTTAACATGAGAAGTTACTACATATGATTACCATAATCTAGTTTAAAGATACGACAATATCAAATAGTGGTAACAAGACAAGTACGACAAATGAACAAAAGGAAACACGCATATCAGATTCAAAGTTCTGAGCAACAGTTTAGAAAGGACCAAACATATCATGCCAACATATTACTACAATATCAGTACAAGTTCCACGCAAAAAATGCAATCCAGTAGGATGCATACAAAAGGCTAACACTCGGATAACATAGCCAACATATCATGCCTAAAACAATAAACACAACCATAAACATAGTCAGGCTAAAAATCATCATTTTTCAGTCTTCGAAGGTTGCACCTCGTTGTTTGGCTTACCCAAGTCTTTATAGATAGCATGCAAGTCATTGGTTAATGCAACCAGATTAGATGTCAGGTCTGCATCTATTTTGAACTGATTGGAACCACTCGTAAACATACTATCTGCTGATGAAGAAAGGAGTTTGAACCCATACGTCGCATACAACTCATTCCCTCTAGCAACAGCATTAGCAGTCTGTTCAGCGACGTAATCAGAAGCTTTTTTTGATCCCCAATGGATCTGCCCATCTGGTTCCTTCAGATTTTGAAGTTGTTTGGCCATATTAGATTCAACATTTACTGGTTTCAGCACAACATGGCAAAAGAGTTTCTGGATCTTTCTTGTCTGGGACAGTTCATGTTAATGCAGGCATTATAAGAAACCATACAACTCAATTTAAGGTTAAAATAAAAGTAAAAAATAAACACACCCACACACAAAATGACTGCTATATTCGTACCTCTGCCTTGGAATCAAAATTTGCGCTCTGCTTTCCTTTTTTTTTTCTTGGTAGCCTGATCATGTGCAGGAACAAACAATGTCCTACCCCGTAGTGTTTTGACTTGTGGAACCGACAGATCACTTAATATCACTACGTCTGGTTCACTACTTGCAGGCCTCTTTTTACTTTGCTGGGTTGCATTTGGGGTGTTGATGATTTCATCTAAGGCAGCAGTGAAAACTTCTGCACTTTCCTCAGTTTTTTTTTCCCCCTTTTAACATCCAGCTACATTTAACCAAACCTTATATAAGCTACACTATGAAATCATGAAAATCAATAAAGATCTTGTATAAAATCAACAAAATCTTACCTCGTATTCTGGGCAGTCCTCTTTGGTGTGACCAAACTGAGGACAATAATCACATTTTATAAAATAAGGCGTATTATCATAATCAACATCATCTCCTGCCTGACTTTCAGGAGGTGCATTTGGGGTGCTTATCTCCTACAAAAAACAATGTAAATATCATGTATTAATATCAACACTGTGAATATATAAAAAACAATGTAAAAAAAAAAACAATGTAATGTGTAACAATCGGTACAATGTACCTTTTCCATCTGACCATTATCACCATTTTGACTACTAAAAAGGTATTCCTCTTCTATTTGTGTTGTTTCTTTTAAGATTGGACATGTTTCAACAGTGTGAGTGGTTGAATCACAAGCAGCACACTCGGATACCACCGGTTGTGGCTGTTCTATTCGGTTAGTCCGACTTAAATTCAGAGATGCTTCATTCAGTGCCTGACGCTAGTTACATACAGAAAAAACAATTTTATTGGAGAAAAAACACTTAAATTTAGTCAATGAATATAAACTACTCTAAAAACACAATTACCTGTCATTCTTCAATTTCCTTCACCATCTCTCTCCGCCTTTCTAATAAAGGACATATTGATCAGAAATGTTCCGTCTTATTGCAATTTTTACACACTAATTTTGCAGTTGGTTTTCTGCCCCTTCTTTTGGGGAGGTTACTGGTTCCCTTAGATGTGGGGTTCTTCTTAGGCTTCGGAGGCCTACCCATCTTCTTGGGTTTAGAAGGATTCCCCTCGGCATAAAACATTGAAACTGAGTTAACTAACCATACATAGCAACTGAGTTAAATTGGAAAAAAAAAGAAGAAAAATGAAAAAAACTAAAAATTAGGGTTTCAGAATTTTTATACCTTCGGCGGGATAGTAGATAGCTTAATTCCTGCAGCCTTAGCTTCTTTCAAGTCAGGACAAGTTTTCTTGCTGTGTGAGCCCCGACAGTAACCACATTTGTGCTTTCCTGGTCCAACCTTCCTACTCGCTTTTAAGGAGCCCCACTTGTTCGTCTTAAGAGGCACGTCAACTGGGAGCTTATTCCTACTACTCTTTGGCCTACCAGGAAGGACTCTAAAATATGGAGGCTTGAATGTGCCTCTTTAGGTTTCGGCCAGAAAAGAGGCATATTTACTGGTCTTATAACAGGTGTATAGGCCTTCAAATACATCTCCTTCGAGTAATACTTATCCACATAATCCTCGATCTTTTTGTTTGCTTCCCAAATGCAACAGATTGCATGAGGACACGGGAAACCTGTTAATTTCCATTTTCTGCATGCACAAGTATGATTCTTCAAGCTGACAATATACTGTTCATAGGCATTCTTCACCTCCTATTCCCCATCACCAGCATAATCACAACTATAAGTTGCAGCCTGCTCCTTGTAAGTCTCTAATCTGGCAAAAATCTTTGGCCCAACCACAAAATCATTCTTCTGAATCCATTCCCTCTTCTTCTGATGCTTCTTCATCAAATAAATTCTAAGCCACTCAAGCATACCTCTGATTGCAAGCTTTCTAGCACTAAGTATTGCTCTATTAAACCCCTCACAAATATTGTTAACAAGCATATCACACTTGGTAACACACTCAAAGAATGCCTAACACCAGTGATGAGCTTCTTCTCTGCTTAGCCATTCCCATGCCCCTTCATTTTCCACTCTCAGTTCATCCATCAGTTTATGAAAAAGTTCGGGAGTAGTGGCCTTAGCAATGCTAAACATTTTCTGCTTCATTTCGACCCCCGGGAACTCCTTCTTAAAGTTGTTCCACATGTGTTGCACACAAAACCTATGAGATACATTTCCTAATGCATCATTCACAGCTGGAATTAGATCCTACAATAAAAACATATAAATAGGTTGCTATTACCAGTTATAAAATATGCTTTTGTAATGTACCAAAATAAACAGCAAAACAGCAAAACTCGAATAAACAAACATTTCAAAAGTACCAGTTGCACAAAAAACTGGTTACCTTCTGCCTATCAGATACAATAACCCAATCTAGAGTGTTTGTGATCCCTAAATCTTTGATCAGCCAGGCCAAAAACCAGCCCCAACTGTCCTGGCTTTCACTCTCAACTACTGCAAAAGCTACCGGATAGATGTTGTTATTTGTATCGAATCCTACTGCAATTAGGAGGATCCATTTACATTGTGTCTTCAAAAATGTCCCATCAACCCCAATAATCTTCCGGCATCCTTCCTTGAACCCTTTTTTGCAGCCTGCGTAACACAAGTATAACCTCTTGAACCTATCAAGTTCATCATCCTCACATATCACTTGAATGGATGTCTCGGGATTAGATCTTTTAACCTCAGCCATGTAGCTTTCTAATTCAGAATACTGATCAGTAATCTTTCCCCGAACCTTTTCCAAAGCCTTTCTCTTTGCATTCTAGGCCTGAGTTTTGGAGATTGTCAGTTGATGCTCATTTTTTACCCTAAACTTCAATGTACTCACACTGATATTAGGATCATCAGCAAAATCTGGGACGTACCAATCAGAAATTATGTTGGAATTGACATTTTTGGTACTCCACACTCTTCCGCAGCTATGCTTGGTATTTACAGTCCTGATCTGGAAAGTGTTTTCATTCTCTCCTTCTATTTTAACCCCATAAACCTCCCAATTACAATGCCTACACTTCCCATGCACAAACAGCTTATCATTTTTCTTAAAGTCGATGATTCTCCGATCAACAATTCCATGCCTTCTTAGTGCATCCAGCAAAATCCACTTAGTTCCAAACTTCTGATATAGCTCAAATTTGGGATTCTTCTTGTCTGTTGCGGGGTTAAAGACCTTGTCCTTCTTCACTGGACGTTCACTCTCTTCATCGTCATATTCATTTTCACTCAATAAGTCATCACAAGACCCATAATCTTCATCCGAATCATTGGCTTCACTCCCATTTGAACCCTTTACATCTTCAGCATGCTTTGTATCAGCTTGCTGCCTAAAAGAACACCATGGTGTAGAGTCAATCCTATCATCAACGTATTTTCTGAAATCCTCATCATCCTTGTCAGACATTTCATAATCACTCTCAGCAATATAATATGAATCACTGGCCTCTTCATCTTCAAAATCCTATATTAGATTATCCTGCTGACTTTTTTTCATGAAAGGATCGAACTCATTCGCCCGTAACCTGAACACTTCAACAATCCCAGATTCATTCTTCAATGCTATCAAGTCATAAACATCTTTATCCCGTCCAATGACTCTATATCCTCCATGCCTTTCCACATTTGGATCCTTAAAATAAAGTTTATGTGGCATGCAAGACTTAGTCCTATCAACAAGGGTTTCCAGCCCCTCTTTTGTAAGCATCACAGAATCTACCTTGTCAAAGTACTCAACTTCACCCTCCACATTACTGTACTTATTTTGCAGAACAAACCCACCCCCATGGCAAAGCTTAACTGTAATCAGATTGGAACCCTCACCTGAAAATAAATCGGCCAAGAAAAAAATTTACATTAGTGACCACCTTCTAATAAAGATGCTTCACAGAAGCATTAAACAATATACAATTAGGTTACCAACTTTGTTTATGTGTTAACAGGACATTTTATATCATTAAAGGCACAAAAAACACACAAACACAGCTATACAAACTACAAAATATGTTTAATCACATACAAAGACCAAAGCATAATTATATATAAACCACCATTTTCTAGGGTTTCACAAAACAAGAACAAAAAATATCCATTTGAAGTCTTTTATGTACTTGAAATTTTGAAACCACAACTTTTATAAAATAAAAAATCCCCATACCCTGAACCCAGATAATAATTAATATAGAATTTCACACCCATAAACTGACATACAAATTTCACTAAAAAAACACTCTGCAGATAATATAAAACCCGAATCCCAAATCTAACACAACTTTCAGAAAAATAAACTCAAAATCCCAGAAATCCTACTACAATAATACATGAAACCCCACATGAAATTACCCCGCATGTAATAAAACATGAAATAACTCTAAACTCAGAAACCCAGAAACCCCCATACGCATATATCAGGTTGAAACCCAAAAAATGTACCGTAAATGAGAGTTTGGTTGTCGCCGTCGCCTTCCGTTGGAGTGTAATCCCTCCACCTCCACATCTTTCTATCGTTTTATGAAGAAAACCAATCTAATACCACAGATCTGACCTTATAAACCTTGATTTGTAAGCTCTTTTCTCCGCCGAAACTCCTAAACTATCCAAAACTCCCATTTGCACCCTAAAATTTCAATTTCAGGCGTGAAATTGAAAACCCTAGAGTTTTTCTCCTTTCTCCTCCATATCCCGAAGATGTGTATTTTCCTTTTCGATTTTTCTGTTTGACCGTTTTCTAACTTTTGGAGTATATATGTTTCAGACAAAACAAATTCTTTTTTTTTTTTTTTTGCACGTGGTCTTGCACGTGATTCCCACCTCAATTGCCCAAAAACTTTCCCTCCTTTTTATATGGATACGGGTCATACGGGTTTGACCATGACCCGGGTCAATTTTTAACTTTTTTCTGCCTTGCACGTGATTAAATGACATAATTGCCCCTTCTACAAAGGCATGTGCAAATCATGCCTCCGTTGGCTTTTTGACGTAAATTGGAAGGAAAAGTGAAAAAAGACAGACGCTGAAGTTTTGGTGGGACTTAAATCATTTTTGAACATATAGTTATGAACGAATATAGCAGGTGAAATTATAGTACTTTTTAGATTAATTATTATTTCATTAAATACTTTTTTATTATAGTATGTCTGATTTTAGTATATTTGGGCCATTCTTGTTGCAAGTCTAAGTTTTCTTGATTATTGCTTTTATTTTTACAAATCATGATTTAACGATTATTAATTTTATTATATGGAGTCCAATGGTTTATGGGTTTTACAAGGAAAAATTAGTGGAAGAATTCCACTTTGGATCCTGGTCTTTGGAATTATGAACAGTTGTCACTAGATTATATGTAGAGATCCAAATATATTCATTCTCGTCTATACGATTACGATCAACTTTATTGGTCTTATTCAATATACTTTCTACCTTGTAACGTGTATGTCTGGTATGGTTATAATCAGGGTCAACGTCTAACATCTTTTTCAAATATCATCTACGATCTCAAAAACTTTCTTCTTCTTTTTTTTTTTTTTTCTGAGTTTTGCATTAGTATATACTATATATAGATATGATAGATATGTAGAGATTATATATCTAGGTTAGTAGTAGATCCCTTTCCCCCAAATTCACACATGTAATAGTTTAGTTGCTTATAAGAATTGTATATAAAAAATTAATTTAAAAAAATTTTAGTGTAATAATAAAATAACAATTGGACAACAAGATTCTAATACCTAAACCCCAAATTCCCAAAAATAATTTTATTCCCTCTCCGCTCTGAAAAAGTAAAAGTAAAAAACCTTTGGGAAAAGGACAAAACCCCCCGAGTTATGTCCCAAAGACAGATTGCCTCCGAGTTACGTCTAAAGGACAAAACCCCACCGAGTTATGTCCCAAAGACAAATTGCCTCCCGAGTTATGTCCAAAGGTCAAAAACTCCCTCCGAGTTATGTCCCAAAGACAAATCTTAGTGTAAAAAGGTAAAAATACCCTTAAATCTAGAAAAAACTTTTTTTTTACACCAAACCTACTCTCCAACCAACTTGTTTATTTTTTTAAAAAAATTACAAATTTTATTATCCGTCATTTTAAATCCGTCACTAACTCAGTTTTGATGTATTATTTCTCCCTATCACTATCGTCTCAATTAAAGTGAACCCTAAATTGAGAATTTAACCTATCAAAATCATAAATTCATGAATACTGTTTCAACAAAAATAAACTCAAGATTGAGAATTTAATAAATCAAAACTATAAATTCTATTCATTTATTTATGGTATATTTTGATTTTGATAGATTAAATTCTCCATCTCGAGTTTATTTTTATTGAGACGACAACGATAGGGAGAAATAATACATCAAAACTGAGTTAGTGACTGATTTAAAATGACGGATAATAGAATTTGTAATTTTTAAAAAATAAACGAATTGGTTGGAGGAGGTTTAGTGTAAAAAAAATTTCTTTCTAGATTTAAGGGTATTTTTATCTTTTTACACTAAGATTTTCTTTGGGACATAATTCGGGGAGAGTTTTTGTCCTTTGGACATAACTCGAGGGGTAATTTATTTTTGGGACATAACTCGGGAGCAATCTGTCTTTGAGACATAACTCGGGGCTTTTTATCCTTTTCCCAAAACCTTACTCATTAACTGGGTGTACATTACACACACCACGACCTGCAAATATATCAACATTATTAATAATGATTAATAGTAATAATTATTAAATTCTTCATATTATATTCCAAAACTAGAATTCTCAACTGCGACACTTGAAGATTTTTCTCAGTAGAAGAAGGTTATTTGAGGAAGAAAGGAAAATGGGTGTTCCGGCGTTCTACAGATGGCTGGCGGATCGGTACCCGTTGGCGATCGTCGATGTGGTGGAGGAAGAGCCGAGAGAGGACTTGAACGGTGTCGTCACGCCCGTGGATGTCACAAGGCCAAACCCTAATGGCATGGAGTTTGACAATTTGTATTTGGACATGAATGGGATTATTCACCCGTGTTTTCATCCTGAAGGCAAGGTAAATTGTCGGCAGCTTTTTTCTTATGTTTACTCGAAGTTTCATTAAAATTTTGTGTAATATTGGTTATTATCTGTGATATTGGTTTTTTGTTGATTTTTTGCTGCTCAACTTCGACCCCAACCCCCGTTCATTGACTCTTTTGGTTGTTCGCGAGGTTGTAATAATTTTGGTATCTAGTAGTTCGAAAACCTAGATAAGAATGCTAAGTTGAATGGGGAAGTTTTGAACTTCAGACCAGGAGGAAAAATCTTTTGGCTTTCGGAAGAATATAGAACGCTATCAGAGTTCAAAAGTTGCGTACTTGTAGCCAATGGGTTGATAAGAATAGGATTTGAATGTGTTGCAGCGGCTTTAAGTGTCATGTAGGGAAGTTCTTTTTTCCTCTGGAGTTATTGATCTTTTACTTCCTAATTTTTCACTCATCAAACCGATTTTTTATGCAACTAGTGGTTGATAATTCTTTAATGCAATCCTTGAGTCAAATCGAGCAAATCGAGTGACCATTTTTCTTGAAGAGGAGAGGAGAGAAAGGACAACGAGAGTTTGAGGTCTTGAAAGAGGAAATGGGGCAATGTTTGTTTTGTTCTTTATTTGTTGTTATGATTTAAGCTCGATATGATATTGGCAATTGATTCTTTTTCGTTGGAAGTTAACTTCTTAGCAAGTCAGCATTTAAGTACATCATCCACGCAAGGAGCTGTCATGCAATTGGAGTTTCTCTTTTTTCTTTTCCCTTCATTCTTTCTTTTTCCATGAAATGTACTAGAGTATTTAAGATCATCAGGGGGTTGACATGTAATCTTCCAATTTGAAGGATACAATGTACAAGTTTTCATCTTTAGAAGTTCTTTTGTTTGATCAAATTATGCTACTGTTAATTGGACATAATTATGTCTGTGCAGAACAAAGCCCGCCTTTACTATATTACAAATTGAGTGATGACTACTATGTTGAGTTTTAGTTTACCCAGAACCTTCGGGTTGATGATTTCCTCTAGGATTTGAACTGCATATATCTATATATATATATATAATTTTTCTTTTTGCATTAAAAAATTACTTCTGAAAACGAACTCAATCAGCGCATTTCTTATTTTTGTTGCTGAAGAGAGTTGCTGCATGTGTTTTAAGTTTATCATTGGTGATTGACAGTTCGTACTTCTTAAATAGTGACAGTCCTACAATTGTATACCTGGAAACAGTTTTACATTTAGTTGGTATAAAATTTGCTTTTTAGGATGATTATGAAAGATGATGGTTCTTATAAATCATTTAGTAGACTGCTCCACTTTTGTTGATATGAAGTTTGTTTGAATTTGAAAGCACTATGGTAGCGTGCTAAAATTTTCTCAATCACAAAATGCAGTTTTACGTGTCTCTTTGGTAAATATCTGACAAGATGAATTAGAAAGCTAAGTGGCAAGCTGGGAGTGTTAATTTTCCTAAATGCAGTTTTTATGTGTCTGAAGTTTCTGTCTGACTGAAGAATTGACAGTGTTTGGTTTTGATTCACACAGCCTGCACCGACGACTTATGATGATGTTTTCAAATCTATATTTGAATATATTGACCATCTATTTTCTTTGGTACGGCCAAGGAAGATTCTTTATCTGGCAATTGGTGAGTCGTAAAATTAATCTTTGAGCAGTCCCCGAAAAAAAGGAATGAGCTATGGTTTAATATTAATCCTTTCTACAGATGGTGTTGCCCCTAGGGCTAAAATGAATCAGCAAAGAGCTCGGCGTTTCAGGGCTGCTAAAGATGCCGCTGAAGCTGTAAGGATTTTTTCATCTTTAAGTTTTTGAAGAGAAGTACATTGTGATAATATTGGTTCTTTCCTGTTTTTCTTTATACTCAGGAAGCTGAAGAAGAAAGGTTGAGGAAGGAATTTGAGGTTGAAGGGGCTTGCTTATTGCCCAAAGAAAAGCCCGAGACATCTGATTCAAATGTCATCACTCCTGGTACTCGGTTTATGGCAGTCCTTTCCGTTGCCCTTCAGTATTACATACAATCTAGATTGAATCACCATAGAGGCTGGAGGCTTACAAAGGTGTGATTATCATGATTCTATTATTTCTCTATCTTGATCAGTTTCATAAGAATAGATGATCCTGTGGAAGGGTTCTATCTCCATTTTTCTGATTTTCCGGATAAATTGTCCGTCTTAAACTCATTTATGGGTATGCATTGGGTGCTTTTCTGAAGGTTATTCTGTCAGACTCAAATGTCCCTGGTGAGGGGGAGCACAAAATTATGTCGTACATTCGCTTACAACGCAATCTTCCTGGTTTTGATCCAAACACCCGGCATTGTCTGTATGGTTTGGTGAGATTAAATCCTGTATTTTGTTTTTTTTTTTTAGTTCAAACTTGTATTTCTTTGTTGATGTGCATAGATTACAAAATTTTTACTGAAAATTTCATCATTGAACTTTTTTTTCCGGAAATTCATCTTGATTCCTTTAATAATTGATTTTTTTAAAACTAGGATGCCGACCTGATCATGCTAGCACTGGCTACACATGAGATCCACTTTTCCATATTAAGGGAGGTTGGTATGAAGTAATCTTGAGCAGATTGTTATTGAAATATTTTCGTTGTCATTAGATGTTCATTGCAAATTGCTTGTGCAGGTGATTACCCCACCTGGGCAGCAGGAAAAATGTTTTGCTTGTGGTCAAGTTGGTCATCTTGCTTCTGAATGTCAGGGCTCATCAAGTGGTGTTAAAGATGCTAATGGGGATTTAGTAAATGACATCCCTATTCACAAGAAAAAGTATCAGGTACTAACGTGGTTAAAAATTATGTTTTGCGTAAACATCTGTCAATTGCTGACAATTGTTCGTGCTTCTTTGTCAGTTTCTCAATATATGGAGATTGCGAGAGTATTTGGAATATGATTTGGAGATAGCCAACCCCCCATTTCCAATAGATTTTGAAAAGCTGGTGGATGATTTTGTGTTTTTGTGTTTCTTTGTGGGCAATGACTTTCTTCCCCATATGCCCACTCTTGAAATTAGAGAGGTATGTTTACCCTCCAGGCCTCTAAAGCAGCTATATTTGTATAGTCTGAGCGCTTGAATTACTTTTTGACCTGTCTGTGTGATTTTTTTTTCCGCCCCAATTTTCTTCTGCTGATTTGTAATTAGACATCTATTTTGAAGCTTCGTATTGTGAGCTTCTAATTCTGCACAGTGCATACCATATTCTTGGTGCTTTTTCTGATTGATTGGTGTTCATTGACTCAGGGTGCAATTAATCTTCTTATGGTTGTATATAAAAGGGAGTTCGCAGCAATGGGCGGTTATCTAACAGATGCCGGTGAGGTAATTTTCTTATTTTTCTGGGCTACTATAATAATTTTGTCTTCATATAGTAGCATGTTTTACAAATTGAAACTGTGATAGGTGCAGTGTCTTACCTCCGTATAGCATGTTTCAAATATGAAAGCAGGACATAGGAGGGTTTATGTAGCTTTCTGTTGTACGCACAAGTTGCTTATATATTATGTAGTTTCTGAAACATACTGTTTAGTATCTGTAGGATGAAATGAAGCTTTTAGAAGGTTTGTTTTATTCTTTCCCTTATGTAGAAATTAGATAAAGAATGGTCAAAATGTGGGTCTTATGTGTTTTGAGGAACCCAATAGTGTTATTCATAATTTTTAATCAAGGTCAGATAAATATTGATATCAAATACTATATAACGCAAATTTTCACGAGGTGCAGTCTAGTTGGTAAGACGCTTCCCCTGTTTCCAATAGGTCACGGGTTCGAGTCACGTCGGGGGTAAGTGGGGAACGACTATCGATCCCTTAAAAATATAAATAAATATAAAATAAAAAAAAACGCAAATTTTCTTATATCTTCAAAAAAATAAATAAAAGAAAGTAAAATTCCTTGTAAAAATTCTACATGGATGAAAAATTGAAACAAACATGATGTATTGAAGTGCTAAAAATTGAATATCAACTACAGAATTAGAAAATTCATGCATGTATTCTCCAGACATAAGTCCTTGATGTAACACAGATAATCATTTGAAACATATTCTTCCACCAGTAAAAGAAATTTCTAGTTCCCAAATTGGATATCAGTCAGCCTTCATGGGAAGGATTATGTGCTTTAATGCCATTATCTAATGATATTGTCAAGAGTCTTGTTCTGGCTATTAATTTGAGACTATCGTAAGTTTTACTTCTTTCCTTTATGCCTGATTGGCTTCTATTCTTTGTAGATTCTGATTCTCGATGTTCTGATCTTTGATTTTGTTTATCATAAACAATTGGTTTGTATATCTAATCTGTTATCAACTGAATTGTTCTCGATTGTCTACTACTACTTCCTCTACATTTTCTGCTTATGCTCAGGAGAATTGCTTAATGTAAGGAAGGATGTGACCTCTTAGCAATCCGTGTTGACCTTTCTTAGACTTGCAACTTTTTTTTCCTATATTTTGTTTATGTTTCTCAGTTGATAATAGAGCGTTTTATCTTTACATGCATCTAAGATTGCATGCAATATTTTCCATGGCCGACTTTGAAGGGACATTTGTCATGGGTTTTGTTCATACAATCCCTCAGTCCTGTCTTGCTGATATGTCGCATAAATTATGCTCTTTTAGTACCATATACATGCAGTACTGGATGTCTAATGGTCACCCTAATCTGCAGGTTCTGCTGGACAGAGTAGAACACTTTATTCAGGCAGTTGCTGTTCATGAAGACCAAATATTTCAGAAGCGCACTCGTATACAACAAGTGGGTTATACTGTGTCCATATCTGAGAATTTTCTTTTGAAATTTGTTGTTTTGCGTTGATTTTGCATTTTTATTCATTTTCTGCTTTTGGACTGTTGTCTGCTTTTCTTTGTTGTATTCCATGTGTTGTGTCCACTGACGTGTTTTGAGTTGTGTCTAAATATGTGTTAATGTGGTAAGGGTTCATGTTGAAAATTTAGCATGGACAACTTTGCCATACGTTTACAACCACCTCCAGCTGCAACAACCACTGCCAGTGGTTGGGAAAAGAGAGAGGGGCGTTTGTGCATTAAAACATGATTTGGTTTTAGCTTAGAGAAACATAGTCCACAGATTATGGATAGGAAATATATTTGGTAGTTCTTTCTAAAGTTAAGGAGCGGGATCTTATTTTATTCTTTGGTTCATGTCATGTTTTTCATTTTAGTGTTGAGAAACCACTCTAGACATAATAGTGTGTTTTCCCTTCTTGAAGCTTTTCTTGAGATCTTATTATTAGTGTATGCTTTCTTAATTTTAAAAACATTCATGCTCAACATTATGTTTCTCTTTGTGATATATTTTACGCAGGGTTATTTATTTCTCTTGTCTCTGTTTCAGGCCATTCAGAATAACGAGGAGCTTAAGCTTAAAGCATCAGGAGAGAGTAATGGGGTGTCTCAGGCGGCTCCATTAGTGGACAAGGTTGACTGTGTTTCCTCTTTTTCTCCCTTTGTTTTGTGTTAATATTTTGTTGGAAAGTGACGATAATTCGATTATGATTCGGTCTTTTCTTAGTCAATATGTGCTTTTTCCTGCTACTGTCTGATTGAGCACTATTTTATTTATTGGTCTGTTTATGATGTCGGGCTCTTGATATGGCTGTTTGAAACCAACATAACTTGAAGATGGGTGTAGGAACATGATTATTATACTTTTGAATTAAAGCTCTTAGAAACCTCTTTATCTGACAGAATAAAAGTATGTTAATTTGAAGATATTCTTCTACAGTACCTATTTTGGATTCCCTTCCGTCCCCTTCCTCCACCCCAACTTTTACTACAGTATCTTTTTCCTTGAAACTAATCAAACAACGGAACTAACTTGCAGTCTTATTGCTGTCTAATGTCAGTGTTATAATTCTTTTCTTTGTAACTTGGGTCTCGGGTGTCTTTGGTTAGATTTGTCTCATTGAAAAGTGCCAAGTGAATGCCTGGATCAACTAAAAAATAAGATAGAAAAATCCTGGGAAGTCTTTGGAGCATGGGATTCCTAGTCACAAGACTGTATTTGTGGAGCTTGATGACACTGTAATATAGATATTTACTATTGGCGAACAATATGCAAATTTCTTGTTCATTTGATATATAATGCTCCATTTGATACAACTGAAGTTTGTCTCAAGTCTGAACACTTGTCACTTTGTTTGAAAAAAATTAAGAGCTGAAGTAGATATCTATCTGACCCTATCAAATAGCTTAAATCTTGTGTGGCCATGGACTTAAGACTCAAATTTCACCTAGGCATAGTAATCATTTTTAAAATTACTAATTTCCATTTTCTTGGGAGCCGTTTGGTTAGTTGGAGTCTGATTCCAGTAAATGGATTTAATGCTCTACTGCTGTTTGGGAAGTCGGAAACGGAATCTGGGGAATTGCTTGAATCCTACCCCCCCCCCCCTCCCCGTTATTCACTTCGAATCCTGTCCCTAGTCCTTTTTGTATTTTTTTTTTTTATAAAAACTATGCCTAACCATTTCACTTTCATCTTCCATGTCCTCTATTTTCTCTTTCTTCTTTCTCCTTAATCCCTATCTTTCTTGTCTCTTCTCTTCTGCATCCATCTTCTATTCATCTCCTCATTTTGTTTCTTTCCCTGTCAAAATAATGAAAATTTGTTCTTGCTTCCATCATTTTCGGATGAAATTATTTCTTTTACCACATCATTTTCTTCCAACTTTGACCGATGGAATGATATGAACAATCACAGTTTTTGATCTAGATTTGAGGTACTGGTGGCCGTAGACATGAGATCTAAGATCTTTTTCTAATCTCTCACATCAAATCATCACTATCATCTTCTGGGTGCTTGCTTCTCATTTATCTTCACCACTATAGCAAATTGTCACTTAAAAGACTGAAAATTGAGGCAAATTGTTGCTGTTATGTGTTGTTCGATTTGAAATCAAATTGATTGTTTACTGTTTGAACTCTTCAAACTTGTTAAAATTATGAAAAATGAGGATGGTTGGCTGTTAAAACATGGTACAATTTGCTCTGTGACTGAACTGCTCTCAAGATTTGAAATGAATAAGATGCAGTAGTTTATTTAAAATTCTAAAGTTTTTAAAAACAAAATCAAGGATGTGGAGTTTTCTTTTGTTTGTATGTGTATGTTTATATGGAGTTTTCTGTAAGTGGATGAGTTGTGGTAGGAAGTGCTATATGATTTATGTGATTTACCTCTCTTTCAGGTGAAGTTAGGTGAGCCTGGTTACAAAGAAAGATATTATTGTGAGAAATTCGGAGTGTCAAAGCCAGAGGAGGTACATGAGATCAAGAATGAAGTGGTAAGTATCAATTCTGATAGTTATTTCCGTTCTGATGTGTCACACCAGAGCTTCTTTAGCTGATCTTAATCTGGGTGGTAATTATTATTATTATTATTATTATTATTATAATTATTATTATGTCAACAGCCTTTTGAGTTATGCATTTTTACCTGAGATAGCTAAGTAAACAATGTAACATTAGGAATGAGGTACTTGAAATCTTGAATAAGAAGATGATATGTTATGGTAAACAATCAGCTTAGTCTGCCAACTAACTATTGAAATTATGTGAGACTATAGTAGTCCTATTTGGGGACTTTTTTCTTGCAAAGTGAAGATTAACTCCTAGATCAGCTCTTAGGATGAAAAACCATTTGAAACCTTGGTGCATAAGACATTTTGAACAATAGGAATAACTAATTTGGTTCACCATACAACAAGCATTGGATAGCAAATTTTGTAGGGTAATCTGACCTAAAAAATCACTTTAGGAACATTTGTCAAAGAATCTAGTGCAAGCATCTAAAAGGTGTTGCTGGCTTTTGGCCTGTTCTGTGTCCAAGCATCTTGTTATTGTTTCCTCCTGGATTTTACCTCTGTGATAGTATGTCCTTCATGGTTCGTAACTGCATGACTCTATTAGAGTACAGAAAAGTCTTTTGTTCTTGGTCTTCAAACTGATTTTTGCTTTGATGTGTTTAGTTTCAAAAAGTAAATGATATAACCCAAGTTTTTCATCATTCTGTCTCCACTTAATGCAACTTGCACGTGTTGCTTACTGGATCGTATTTTTTCTTTGCAGGTTCAGAAATATGTTGAAGGATTGTGCTGGGTATGCCGTTATTATTACCAAGGTGTCTGCTCATGGCAATGGTTGGTGGTTTTGCTAGTTGATAATGATAATTGTCTTTTCTCGTGTCAATGTTTTGTATGGGATGGTTAATCATGAATTTCACGACATTAGTAAACCAGTTGACGATATGGGATAAAGGCTTTGTTGTCAAAGAAATTGTGATTTATGAGCATTGCTTGATTGCTTTCTTCTTTTTATGCTTTTTTCATTCCTTTGTAAACGATGTGAAGCCCAGACCTCCTGTAACCTTTTCCGCTCTCATTGTACTCATGCTTCACCTCCTTCATGAAATCCCTTTCATTTGGATTGGATATGTATGTTTATATCATACTTGTTTTACTGCTAGTTCCGTACATTTGTTTGCTTATAATTGTCATGTCCTTATTGTTTGTAGTGTGCCCTTCATTTGTTTGCCTGGAATTCTAACTAAAGTTTGTTAACATTTGTTTCAGGTTCTATCCATATCATTATGCTCCATTTGCTTCCGACCTTAAGAATCTGGCTGATTTGGAGATTACATTTTTTCTTGGGCAGCCATTCAGACCCTTTGATCAGCTTATGGGCACCCTGCCAGCCTCAAGGTTTTCCTATATCTTTTTGCATATTTATCTACCATCGGTCACTCAAACCCGTAGTTGGCTCTTAGTTTGTTTGGACACATCGTTTAAATGACTTTCTCTTATTTTTATTTTTCTTTTTATGTTAGTGCAAGTGCTCTTCCGGAGAAATACAGGACACTGATGACTGATTCATCATCACCTATTGTGGATTTTTATCCAGCTGGTAGTAGCTAATGAACCCTTTTAATTGAGGAAAAAAACAAATCTGCAGCGTAGTCTTTCTTTGTTTATCTCTCATCAAAAGTAATTCTTTTCCTTTATAATTGATGTTAGAATTTGAAGTAGACATGCATGGGAAGCGATTTGCATGGCAGGTATACCTTGACATCATGTTTAATATGAATTTATATGTTGTAGTAAGTGGTAACAGCGAGTGTAAGACATTTTGTTCTACCTTTGATGATCAGGGTGTTGTCAAATTGCCATTTATTGATGAGAAGAAGTTGCTTTCTGCTACCAAGAAACTTGAAGGTAGCTTGACGGTAAGGCGCTTTACACGACAATATTGCAGTTTTCATAAAAGAAAACTGAACCATTTTATTTAGTTACCATTTCAGACATTGCTTGTGCTTAGTTTTTACCATTCCCTGCACGTATCAGCTTGAATATTCTTAGTTTAACACTATGTTCAGGAGAGGATCTGTAACTTAAATATTTTGAAGAAAAATTCTCTGGAATGAAGTATGGTTGAATTTTTTTTACAGATGGGACTAAGTTCAGTTCTCTGGAATGATGAATAATTCATGTCACTGACTGCCTGCATAATGTGGAATTCAATCTCTATGGTGCTTACTTGAGGCCAACACTTGTATAGATTTCACTATGTAGTTGGACTTGGTGTTTTGGAGTTTCAAATGATGTCATTAAGTGATGTAATAGGCACTTGTGCTTTTAGTCTAGCCTGCTTTTGTGAGTTTTGGACTTGTAAAAGTGACATGTCTGGTCTCGTAAAAATGATAAATTCTTGACTTCTTAATTGATTTATGTTATGAGTACAATGAGTGTGTTGGAAAGTGAACTCCAGTGCGAATCTAATGAGCTGCTGCTCGCAAGGGTGCTTGTTTCTCTTTAATCCTAATCTTCAAATTTTTTGTCTCACTTCGAAAATACGTTCGAGTTTTTATTCCACCCAACTGAAAATTCATTCTTTGTCAGTGTACTTTAATATGCCTGTTTAGTTGTGTTATGCACAGAGGATTCATATCTGATTTGGTTCTGTAGGAGGAAGAGCTTCAACGGAATAGTGTAATGTTCGATTTGCTATATGTGCACCCACTGCATCCATTGGCTCCACATATTGTATCATACTATCAACTCTATGGTCAAGTGCCTCCTGGAGAAAGGCACCCCATGGTGATTGACCCTACTGTGAGGTTGGTACTGTGGCACTGCAATTAGTTTCATGATGCAATTGATTATACTTCTCTTTATTTCATCTAAGTTGTTTACCATTTTTGAGCAGTGAGGGGATGAATGGTTTCATTTGGTTAAGTGAGAGGAATGGGATAAGACAAGTGGTTTCTTGCTCTATTAATGGGTTTCGAGACATCACCAATAATAACTCTCTGTGGGTATCTCATTTTTCTCCATTTTTCTTATTTTTCCTACAAATAATGAATATTCATTGTTATACTCTCGTGTTCCAGGAATATTACCTATCTGAACCCACCTCAGCATCAGCACATTCCAAGGCTTCCAAATGGTGTTGACGTTCCAGAAAAGGTATTGTATCTTCTTCTTTGGTGGTGGTAAACTGAAAGGTATATTAGTTTGATGTATAGCTGAGAGCCTCTTTGTTGAATGGGTCCGAAAATCTGATCAAAGCAATATACTTGAACTTGAACTTATACGTCTTTGGGTAGTTTGATAGTTTGTAGTTTTGTACTAATAATTTATGCGTAATGTTTAATATTAACATGCGCCACTGACATGTTTTGCTCTTATATGCACATATTACACAACACATGCGGCAAAAGACCCCTGTTGTTTAAATATTCTTAATTTCTCATATCTTGGGTTAGAAAACCTTAATTGCCTCCCTTTTGCTTTGGATGGTGATTCAAATTGAATGGCGACTATTTACAGCAGTGTGAAAGTGCGCCGAGTTTGATAGCTACTTACTGATGTCAGCCAAATTTGTGACAAAAGTATCCGTGCCAATGTCCATACCTTCAATTAAGTTAAGGCGGTGCGTTGAAGGGTTACCTATTAGCATTTTACTGTTTAAGTTGATCAAATCATTCAGGAAAGATTCCCTTTTGCTTTGGATGGTGATACATATTGAATGGAGATCATTTGCAGCAGTGTGAACTAAATGTGCCATATTAGATAGCTAGTCACTGATGTCAGCCAAATTTGTGACAAAAGTATGCCTGCCATATGTCCATACTTTTAATTAAGGCGGTGTGTTGAAGGGTTTTACCTATTAGCAATTTGCTGTTTAAGTTTAGAAGATTTCCTTTTGCTTTGGATGCTGATACAAATTGAATGGAGATTATGTACGGCATTGTGAACTAAACGTGCCGAATTAGATTGCTAGTTATTGGTGTCGGCCAAATTTGTGACACAAGTATCTCTGCCGTATGTCCATACCTTTAAATAAGTTATGGCAGTGCATTGATGGGTTATCTATTTGCAGTTTACTATTTAGGCTGATAAAATATTTTAGCAGATATTAATTATTCACATCAATATTGACTTAACATTTATTGAAACAAATGTTATGACATATTTGGAAACAAAATTTACTTTTCTTTTTTTTTTTTTTGAAAAGGTACCTGAATAAAAAAATGTCTAGTTACAAATATATAATTAGCACATATTTGATATTCCAACTTGGAATTAATTTCTGAAATTTATTTATAATACACTCGGAAATATGGATTGAAATTTCAAAGATGCAAGTTTCAGTTCGGTTAAGTTCAAATTTGTGTTGTTTGAATTAGAACTGATTCCGGTTTTAAATTTAGAATAAACCTATTAAAACTTGGAATATTCGGAATGTAATCACCAGTAAATGGAGAACTGCCATGACCATTAACTCATTGCTGTTTCGTATTGCTGTTTGCTTTTTGTAATTTACCCTTCAACTTACTTAATTGAGGTAGCTTATTTCCACAACCACACTGATGAAAGCCGATTTTGTATTACCCTTGTTGAAATTTTAACCTAACAATAACTTCCGATTGTAGGATGCCAATTTTTATATCCTTTCTATTCATCATTCTGTTTTAAATGCTGCTGCCATTATTATTATGTCAAATATGTCCGGGTTTGAAAGATATTGTGGTTTTGATTGTTTTTGGCAGGGCCATTTGCCGCCTTCTTTTGGCTTATTTTTTATTTGATTCGTGTTCGCTTGATGTTCTTTAAAGAAATTGAAAATGAGTAATTGTGATTTTCATTTGCAGATTCTAAAGGCTATTGACATAAAGCCATTCCCTGTTTTGTGGCATGAAGACGTTGGAACACGGCGCCAGCTAGGAAGGAATAGGTATAACACGTTTTATTGTTGAAAATTCCAAATATTTGTCCATTTGTTGGTGTTTTACAATTTGGAGAGAAACTTTATCTTGAATGTATATTTTGATAGCTAATTTTAACATCGGTTCAACGTAAACATGATCTCAGATTTTTTATTTTTTTATTTTTTTACTTGAATTTCTTTAGCTTTTTGTGTGAGTTTTTGTTTTTGTAATCTATTATCACACGAACATCCCTACCTTCTGTTAAACATTTTGTGTTTTATAGGCCACAAGTACCTGGAGCAATATCCGGCCCTTCGTTGGGTGAAGCAGCACATCGTCTGCTGAAGCACAATCTCAATAGCAAATCCAGTGATACATATTCTGGCACTGTGGAACACAGGACAAACCAGAATTTCTTTATAAACCAGGCCACTTATAAGCAGAAGGTTGCTGGACCATCTGGTCACGAAAGGAACTTTTTTGATCAATTTTCTTATCAAGGTACAGTTGGGAACTTAGGAAATAACTCGAGTAAACCTAGAGCTCCTGGACCAACAGGATACATCGGCCATTTGGATGAACGTGATTATTCTAATGGATATCGCAATCCTCGCAGCATGATGGGAGGTCAGGGATATGGTCCATATTCGGATGAGTTACAAGGCAATAGGTCTAATTTTAGGCCACAATATAGATATTCACAGCAGGAACAATATCACAATGTAAGGAATGGGATGTCATCTCTAACACTTGAAAGTGGCGGTCGCCCAAGGCAAAATACTGGATTGGCTCCTAGGATGCAAATTACAGGTCAGATAAATAACATACGTCACCATCATGTTCAGAACTTTGGTCCACTTCCATCACCACCTCCCAAATGGATAAGCAAACCAGCTACTGGGAATACAGGAATGTATGTTAAGCAGCAAGAAAGTTATTCAACTCAGGGATACGAGAAACAAGTGAAAAAGATATACCAAGTCAAGAGCCGGCCAAGCCAGAATGAATCTGATATTGCAGGATCCAGCAATGGTCTTGCATAGGGTTGTACTTCTTTCCTGATCTGGGTGTTTTGATGCAACCTATGACTACAGTGCATGTATCCTTGAAGACCAGTGGTTTTTATTCTGATAGAGCATCAATGCCTACATATTTCCTCGACTCTTGGGGACCAAAGTCTTGAAAGCACTTTTAAGTTCATTATTGAGAAAGACAGTGGATCAATTTGCGGAGGCTTTTGTTCTGTTGTTAAGTTATTCTTCCTTTTTGGGCGGGGAGAAAGATTCTGTATTCTAGGGTTCCCCGTGTACTATAACCAGGGCATTTGTTTTGCTCTGAAGAGTAATATGTGCTTGATTAGGAGTAGAGTAGCCTATTACTTCCGCATCCATTTATTTATGTTGGTGGGTTGTGGAAGAGAAGCTAGGAACAATTTTAGTGTCATGAGGAAATGTGCAGCCTTGCCTCCTCTCTTTTAGTCCCTTCTAACAAGGTATTTATGTTGATAAGTCGTCCTCACTGATGAAGCAGAAGAAAATATGTACAGTTCGGCTGGCACGGGTAGAACTTGTACATTTCTGCAAACATTTCTGTAAACTGTTTTCTGTTTGACGCTCTCCCTCTTACTACTAAATCTCCTGAATAATTAGGATTTCCTGCTCCTTTGTGGCATTATACTTGTAAAACGAACAATCGCAGAGAGCTCTGCTTCCAAGTATTTTTCATCTGTAGCGCAGTGCAGAGACTCCAAAAACTACCAAGAGCCAGAGATAGCAGGAGGGACACAAACAACAGTGATGTTTAGTCACTTAAAATTTAACCAGATCAATTACTATAAAAGCTGAACAATAGTGATGTTTAGTCACTTAAAATTTAACCAGATCAATTACTATAAAAGCTGTTCACACACTGCATTTCATTAGTCCATTACTCTCTCTTTGGTAGTGCTCACTGTGACCAATGTAACCAAATCGGCAAAGTACATGGAGATGAGAATCCTATAGTTGCTTTGCAATGTGATTTAAATGGTGCAACTATACATTAAGGAATTCAGTGTTGGTTTAATTCTTCTTGAACGAAAATGGAGGGTGAAGCCAGAGCCTTGCAAAATGAACTTGTCTCTCTTTCTTACATTCCATCACAGATAAACAATACAAGTATTCTTCCGTATACAAACTGCTTAAAAAAGCGAGTCTAGCTGGACGAGTTCCAATGACAGAAAATAACAATATATCATTATTGAAGAAAGTATCCAGACAAGAAGAACAAAAATCCCAATCCTAATCCACCATAAATGAGCAGAGCCTTTTGGCCAGATGTAAGTGTATTACCACCAAGTCCAAACTGCTGATTCTGAGCAAAACCAGCAATTTCTACTCTTTTACTCTCGAAGAAATTCTGTGAAGCTCCACAAGTTGGACACCTCCAATCATCAGGCAGTTTTTCAAATGGCAGCCCAGGTGGGATCGGATATGAAGGATCTCCAGCACCTTCATCATATTTGTATCCACAAGACCTACACTCGTAGATTCCAGTGTTCAAAACAGCAAATTTCTCCTCAAGTCTTCTCTTGTCAAAAGTAGAACCCTCTTCATCTTCTAGCTGCTCAATCACGGTTGCTTCACTTGAATCATTGCTGGAAATTTCTTCTTCTGATAGTGATGGTGATGGTATTGTGGGCTTATCCTCTTTGGAAACATCCAGAGATTTTGGAATGGTAATGAAATTGGGTTTTGAAGAAGGGATTTGAAGGGCTGTTGAAATGGAGTTAGATTTGGAGATTAAAGATTGGATTTTGATGGTTCTTATTGGAAGGGATGGTTGAGTTAGAGGAGTTGTTGAGAGGTTAAATGTGAAGGACGGTCTGGCTGTTGCTGATGCCATTTAGGAGAATGAAAATTTGGATGTGCGTTTTTCAGTTGATGATTCTTCTCTTTGTGCGGTAAATACTTGGAAATTGTTGTTGGCAGTGTGTGTGTGTGTGGAATCAGAGGATCCATGTAAGTGGAGGAGCATATGCTTCCTTTTTATGGGAACTGGATAAGGTGTAAAATTGTTCATTTCATCATGTCATTTTTCTGAACACTAAATAACAATAAGACCCCAACATTTTCTTGGAATTGCTGGATACCCGCAGAAGTATAGATTGTATGCTAATTCTGTCTGTTACTTCTTATCTGGTAGAAGTGCTAAAAAGTTGGCCATTAAATTTAGATAGTTTTCTTCAAGCATCTGGAGAGTACTTATTGGAGCGGGGTGAATCTAAGAGCTTTGAGTTCAGGTTTACCTGTAATAAATTACTCCATAAGGGTTCAATATTCAGGGAAAGTGAATGTGGCTGCAAAATGGAGTTTTGACTTTTGACATCTTGGAAAATGAATGAGCTACACCTAAAAATTTAAGCTAATACTACGTACAATTTTAAAAAAAAATTAGTGACAGAGGTAGTGTAAACCAAATCCCAAAAAAATAGTCAGAAATATTCCATTGGGGGATTGTTAGGCTTTCTCTCTAGGAGAGTTTATCTGAGCGTAAGGTTCCTTGGGGGCTAGGGTTTTGGACTACTAGGGTTTCATCTTTAATCACAGTTGACTTCCATCAATTTCCTTCCTAGTATACATCACAATCTCCCATCGTTTTCCTCATCATCCATCGCACAGCACTTTGTTTTTCAAAAAACTTTTTTCAATCACAAAACCAAAAAATTCAAAAATTGTTTTTGCGTAATTACTTCACTTTTGTGTTTTTTTTTTTTTAACGTTTTTGGTGCAAGGTTTTGGGAGCCCCTTTCATTTACGCCGCCGACATCTTCTTCCTTCTCAATCCTACAAGCAATCGGGTCACCAAATATGGGGGAAGCTATCGAAAACCCTTTTGCCAGACTGTCGTTGAATCAACGGGAATCTAGAGTCATTGAACCGGAGAAGAACTCGCCACTGGGATACGATAAGGAGAAAGTTTTGGTGGGGAGACTCATTACTAGCAAAGTATTGGGGCACAACACCATCGTACAAAGGTTGCGGAACGTTTGGTTCCTCAAAGGAAATCTTACAACCAGTGCTCTTGGGGACAACACGGTTCTTTTTCGGTTCAGCCATGATCTGGACAAAAAGAGGGTTCTTGCAGGCGCCCCTTGGTTCATAGAAGACCACTTGTTGATTTTGGATGAGGAAACAGCCAACGTAATTGTCGGAGAACATGCTTTCACTTCATCCCCGCTTTGGTTACAACTTCATGGTCTTCCGGTGGGGCTCATAACGGAAAGAAGGAAAGCCTTTGAAGATTTAGCTATAGTATGAAAGGGTGGTCGATTTTTGTTATTTTTCCGGAGTAATTGGCCATGACCAATTGAAGTGTGACTCAAAGATCAATTCACCTTCTGTTGTATCGGGACCAATAGAATATGCCCCTTTCTTGACAGCGGATCCGACCAGCAACCCTTTCCCGGAGAGAAGATCACAACGTCGTCGTGAAGCCGGGTAAAACCCTAGAACTACAACTGACCCACAACCCACCCATCTCCCACAAAATAGAGACAAAACACATCCAAACCTAGAAAAGCAAACCACCAACTCAACCCCTGAACACCTTGCCACATCCACTGATTTTCTTGAACCTTCTTATTACCAGGAACATTATCCCCCACTTAGTATGGTAGCCAATCTCCCACCTTGCCTGGATACCTCTCCACCAATAAACATTGCGCCCCAAACCCCGTCATCACATTCCTATGACCTATTCCACCAATCAGAGTATCGCAATATCCCTCAATATCATCCTGCCACTTCATACCAGCGAGTGAAGCCATGCGTCTCACAAAGCGGAAGTTAACACTTGAAGATGATTTTGCGACTGCCATTCCGGTGGAAGTGATTTTGAAGAAATCCTGGACTGAGACCATAGAAGAACGTCTTTCTCCGCGAGTTATGTACTCGCTGAATCTGAACATCAACCAACGGCAGGGAGTGGTGCAAAAGGCCACCCCGGCCAACAGCCATGAGTCTTCTAAGTTGGAACCACCAGACCAGGAGAGAGCTGCGGTCGATCATCCACAACAAGTCGCCCCATTTAGTTTTTTTATCAGAAACTAAGTGTAATTTTTCAGTTATTGATCAAATAAAAATTTCTTCGAGTTATTTTGGTGTATCAGTTAATTCTTCTGGGAATTCGGGAGGAGTGACCTTTTTGTGGAGAAAGGACGTCCCTGTGACTTTTAAGAGATTTTCCAGACATCATTTTGATGTGGAAGCGAATTTATTGGGTTCAACGGTCTGAGTAACGGGTTATTATGGTGAGCCAGAGACTTCATTGGGTAGAAACGCTTGGAACTCTTTTTGTTCAGACTTTTGGGCAGAGTGATCTTCGATGGATTTGCCTTGGGGATTTTAATGAAGTTCTATCCCATGAAGAGTATCAAAGTATCAGGAAATGTCCAGAATGGCAAATTGATGCATTTCGCGCCGCTATAGAGCAGTGTGGTTTATCGGACATGGGATGCAATGGGGATCGATTACTTGGAGCAAAACATCTATCGCGCCTTTCACTCAAAGAGCTCGCCTAGACAGAGCAGTTTGCAATGAACATTGGAGGCAGCTTTTTACATGGAATAAGGTTTATCACATCCCCACACATGTTTCATATCATGATATACTCCAGGTGATTTTCAGGAAGTCCTTTTCTGCTCTAAATCAAAGTAACCGGAGGAGACCTTTTCGGTTTGAGGCCTATTGGGTCAAGGCAGCCGACTGCGAGAAAGAAATTCAGAAGTGTTGGCGAGATAACATCGATTCTGTCCTCGACAAGATGAAAGCATGTGAAGTTTGTCTCTTAAATTGGAGTAGGCGCCAACCGGGGAATACTACTGAAAGCATAGAAAGTTTGAGGAAGGAGGTGACCAAACTCAAGTCGGGGACAATTTCTAAGGCCACAAAGTGTCGTTTGACAGAGCTTACAGAGAAACTTGATGTCTTGCTAGACCAAGAGGAGCTAAAATGGAGACAAAGGGCAAAACAACATTGGCTCAGAGAAGGGGATCGGAACACCAAATTTTTTCATGCCCATGCATCAAAAAGAAGAGAAACCAACTTTATCTCATCCCTTCGGGATAACGAGGGGCACCCTCAGAGCCAATCAGAGGCGATTGAAGCAGTCATTCATGAGTACTTCACGGAGATTTTCTCATCTTCTGAGGTGTTTGAACCGGTCTTACAACAGGCATTGAGTAGGATAAGGCCCAAGGTCGATGCGGAGATGAATGACACGCTTACAAGACCTTACACCACCAATGAGGTAATTAACACTCTTAAATCTATGCATCCGTTTAAATCCCCAGGTCCTGATGGTTTAAGTCATGTTCTTTCAAAAGTTTTGGCATATAGTCGGCTGTGATGTTTCAAAATTTGTTTTGAATTTTTTAAATGATGGTTATTTTGTAAACTCTACAAACTACACTCACATTGTTCTCATTCCAAAAGTCCAGAATCCTGATAAAATCATGCAATTTCGCCCCATCAGTCTGTGTAATGTTATTTATGAAATTGCTTCCAAATGTATAGCTAACAGACTGCGTAGTTCTCTTCTGAAAGTCATTTCAGAATCTCAAAGGACGGAAAAAATAAGATGTACTGGTTGTCATGGGATAAGCTGGCCCCGAGTAAAGATAAAGGAGGTTTAGGTTTCTGGAATCTATACGCTTTTAATCTGGCAATGCTGTCTAAACAAGCTTGGAGGCTGATATCAAACCCGTGTTCTTTGCTGGCTAGAGTATTGAGGGATAGATATTATCGGAATACCAATTTTTTTGATATTGAATTAGGCCCATCTCGGTCATGGTTTTGGCGTAGCATTATTGAGAGCTGAAAAGTGTTATCCCTAGGTAGCTACAGGAGAATCCGATCAGGCAAGAACACTAGGATTTGGGAGGACCCTTGGTTGCCCGGATCCCCAGGTTGTCGCATCCAAAGCCCATGCTCGCTGCTTGAGCAATCTGCTTGCGTTTTCGAACTGATCAACGATGCGTCTGGGGGGTGGAATATCTCTCTGATCAAATCTATTTTCACTCCTCCAGAAGTAGAGCTCATACTCGATTTGACCCCGGGGGATAAGGATCAGGGGGGCGTATGGTGTTGGAGTTTCACTAAGGGGAAGAAGTTTACTGTACGCTCAGACTATCATGCCATTCTAGATTCAGAATTTTCTCCGCTTGCTCACTCTGAACAAGCCAATTTGAATATGCCACCAATCTGGAAGCGAATATGGAAGCTTAAACTACAGCCTCGACTGAACCACTTTCTTTGGGCTGTGTGTAACGAAACTCTCCTGTCTCCGGAGAATCTCAACCGCCGCCATGTTCCCCAACTTGGATTGTGTGCGAACTGTGATAGCTCTGATTATCAACCAAGCACCTTTTTTCGAATGCTCTTTCACTGCGAAGCTTTGGCGAATCGCTAATCTGTCTGCTCTCATAAGGCAGCACGAACGTGCGGCTTATTGTGCTTGGATACAGAACCTAATTCTACAGGCGGAGGCTAAAGATGCTGAGATGATTGCTACGATCCTTAACTGCATTTGGTTCAGGCGCGACAAGGTTCTTCACAAAGACGAGACTATGAGTTCCACAACAACGGTCTTAATGGCAGGAAGCATGCGTAAGCATTTTCTTGAAGCTAAAGGATGGCCTGAAAGAATCTCATCGTTGTTGCAACCACACTGTTTGCTTGGGAAGATCCCTCCTGGTGTGAAAGTATGGTTTGATGGAGCGATTTCACGACTTCATAGATGCGCCGGAATTGGAGTTTGGTGCGAAGACGCGAGCGGTACCTTTTTTAAAGGCTAAAACCATCAGAGTCAAAGGAGTTCAAGAACCAGACTTTGCTGAATCCTTAGCTCTGAGAAAAGCGATCAAGCTAGCTCAGGAATGTTGTTTGGTTGACTTCTCAGTACTAGGGGACGCAATAAACACAATTTTGGCAGTCCAAGAGCTGAACATAGATCCGTCTAACTCAGTACCGGTTTGGGAGACCATTCATAATTTGATTCGAGTCACTCATCCTTTGGGGATTTTTTGGATCCGCCGCAACGAAAATGTAATAGCACATAAGTTCACTGAATTAGCTAAAAATAGTGATGAGAATTGTAACTCTTGGTTGCACATTCCGGTGACCTTCAGTTAACCGCAGCTGGACAATTTCCTGCATATATGAATGAAATTCTTTTCTTCTTAAAAAAAAAAAACTCAAAAATATAGTTCACATTGAGTTTCCAAATTTGTACTAAAAACACTACAAAACTCAAAACTCAAAGTGAATTATTTTTTTGGGACGGAGGTAGTTCAATTTTTTTTAAAAAATAAAATTATAAGCATATAGAACCAACGTATATATCCTGAAAGACTGAAAAGTTAACCAAGTTAAATATTGATTAAGGAAACCGAAGCGGCAATACACGTATTGGGAAAGAATAAAAGCAACATGAAACAAAAGATCCAAACTCATTTATACATTTGCAACCATGTTGGATTTGTTTTATTGTTTGGAAGGATTCTTTGAAAATAAGACCAAGATTTGGATATGATGGTCGGTGAATTTGGGTTTCGAAGAACAGGAAAGGATAGCAATATGACTGATGTTCAAGAAATTGCGCTACTAAAATTGATGACAAAGATTTTATTTTTTTCCCTCAAGTTTTTCTTTTTAACGCAAAGACTTCATGTCCCTTTTTTCCATTGCCATGTTCTAATGTATTTGTTGGCTTCATTTGGATGCAAAAATTTGCTGGAAACATTTATCAGTACATTGATTTTTTATTTTTTTGGAAAAAATACCTGTATATTAATTAAGAAGTACCTAAACTGGTACATTGATTAATATTTTGTGTAGGTTCTATTTTTCATTGTTTTCTTGGGTTGCCGTGGATTTCCATTTGAAGTCTAATGCTGTGTCACGACCGGGGGCCGGAGGGTGGCCGGAACGGCATAAAAGGGAGAAATTCAGTTTGGGGGTTAGGGTTTCGAGGACTGGAGTCGAAGAAGGAGGAAGAAACTGAAAAATTCAGTTTAGGCATAATAATTCTGATAATGATTTACAAGTCCCTGACAACTATTTATACTCTAGGAAGATATAAAAACTACAATTTAGCCCCTATAATTTGTAATCCCTACACTTAGGTCCAGGGGCATGACATGCTGATCATTTGGAAGGATGTCATTGTTTGTCCAACCTTGAAGGCGGAGAGCCCGTTGCAATAGCCCACCAAAGATGGCTCCAAATGTTGGGGCAACCACATAGATCCACATATGGTCAAAGTTGCAGGCTACAATTGCAGGGCCTAATGATCTTGCTGGATTCATTGACCCTCCCGAAAGATGCCTACATTAATTATTAACAAAGATCAATTGTAATTGAGTTGGCATTTTGTGAACATTTTGTTGCATATAAAATGGTGTAATTAAAAGGGATAAGGACAATTACCCCCTGAGTTTTGTCCCAAGCCTTAAAACCCCCCTATGTTTTTTGAAAGGACAATTACCCCCCTGAGTGATGTCCATAACACCATTATACCTCCTTTGACACGCGAAAAGACCAAAATACCCTCAATACGCGTGGGGCCCAACATTTTTTCCTATTTCTTGCTTTATTTTTTAATTTTTTTCTACTTTATTTAGTTTAATTATTTTTAGTCCAGTTTTTCTTTCTTTTCTTAAAATTTTTCTACTTTATTTAGTTTAATTATTTTTTCGTCCACTTTTTTTTTTCTTTTTTAAAAATTGTTCTACTTTATGTACTTTAATTATTTTTAGTTCAGTTTTTCTTTCTTTTTAATTTTTTTATTTTATCTTTTAATCAAAAAATAAATAGAAAATATATTTAGTTAAATTTAAACCAAGTTTATAAAATCATATTTCATGCTATTGTTGTTTTTTTTCATTTTTCTTTAAACTATAGATATCCCTCATCAGGTTTATCAAGTAATTAATTCCGTTGAGAGATATCTAGAGTTCAAAGTAAAATAAGAAAACAAAAATAGTATGAAATATAATTTTACAAATCTGGAAAAAATTTAGGCAAAACCAAATATATTTTCTATTTATTTTTGGATTAAAAGATAAAATAAAAAATTTAAAAAGAAAGAAAAACTAGACTAAAAATGATTAAACTAAATAAAGCAGAAAAGGAAAAAAAAAGAAAAGCTGGACTAAAAATAATTAAATTACATAAAGTAGAAAAAAATAAAAAAAGAAAGGAAAAATAGACTAAAATAATTAAACTAAATAAAGTAGAAAAAAAAAGAAAAAAATTGGAGAAAGAAATTGGGCCCGACGAGTATTGAGGGTATTTTGGTCTTTTCGGGTGTCAAAGGAGGTATAATGATGTTATGGACATCACTTAGGGGGGTAATTGTCCTTTCAAAAAACTCAGGGGGGTTTTAGGGTTTGGGACAAAATTCAGGTGGGTAATTGTCCTTATCCCTTTTACCCTATTAAAGTAGAATACAAGATGTTGATGTCGCAATTTCTTATTAAAAATTTTTGGCTCCAAATGCACCATATTGCATTAATTATTCTGCCACGTGTCATCCCTTTTTAAAAGAAAAAAAAATCTTACCTGGAGAAACAAAAACTACTTTACAAAAATAGCTATACAATTTTAATTCCTAACATTTATCATTTATCAATCAAATTAAAATAATATTTAAATTTGCCCATAAACTTATCCCATTTATTACTCCACATTCTTTTGTATGATTTCTGCATCGTTGTACTTTTCAATATTTTTTTTCTTTTGGCAGATGATTTTTTTATTTTTATTTTTATTTTTGGCTAAAAACGGAAAAAAAACCAAATGTGTAGTTATTTTATATTTTTCAAATCAAGAATTCAATTATCTATTAACACAAAATTAAAGTAGAAGAGTGCCCGGACATCTGCCTGGGCCAAACATCTAGTCTCTAATTAAAATGACTACACATTTGAGATTTGATGTACCCTGAGAGTATCACTCCAAGTCCAACAGCTAATCCCATCACAAATCCAGAAAATCTCCCTGCCTGCACAAAGTTTAACATTTCCATGTTAGAATTGGCCATCTGACCGAAATATTTAAATCAAAGGTTGTATCAGGATTAATTTATGTCTTAGAAAGGACAAACTGTGATATAATTCAAAAATGTGATATGTTAATCAGAAAATTAATTTAAATGTCTCGAGTAATGTGAAGCGTGTACGTATGATAGCATGAGCTGTGTTTTTTTTTTTAAATGCGTTAGCTTAATATCTAAATTCCAAAATTACGACCTTAATTTCCGTTTTCCAAGATGAAAGAGATCCCAATAGATCTTACAGATGGTTTGTTGGTTGATAAGGTCGCAGCCAAAAACATAACGAGTGATGTTGCTACGAATTCGACGGAGAAAGCGGCACCCAATCCTTGTGTTGGTTTTGTCAGCAATGCGTCCAATTTCGTATCATATACTAACCTTCCCGCCAGGCTTCCCAACACACAACCTCCCAATTGTGCTAAAACGTACATTGTCACCTAATTAATTCCCACAAAAAAAACACACACATATTTATATAAATGAAGATCGGATCGATCAATTATTCCAACTACAAAAATCACACTACCCCAATTCCAGAAAAATAGTCAAATTATTTTTAAAAAAGAAATATAAAAATTAGATGAATTAATCTTGCAAATTAAAAATTTATAATATAAAAAATTGAATAAAGTTTTATGACTGTTTAGCAACTTAGTAATCAATTTTAGGTTGTAACAATATCATAAGCACAATTTTAAGATTTACATTTCTAAAATCGAACAAATATTTTTAGACGGAGGTAGTATTATTTTGTCGACCTCACACATACGAATGACTAAAACTGTAAAAAGAAACGTCAATTACCAAAACCCATGGAAATGGACCAACGATTGCAAAGGAAATGGAGATTGCAGGGTTAAGATGAGCTCTCGAAATTTCCCCAAAAGCGAAAATAATAATTGCAATACTGAGAGCTGCAGTTGCTGCATTTTCCATTATGCCTCCCTTTATTCCCATGTATTCCATACAAGCTAGGCTTGCGCAGGTGGAAAATACAACCATGAAGCAGCCTAATGTTTCAGCTACAACCTGCATTTTTACGAATAATTAGATGAATTAATTCGATGCATTGCATTAACGAAGAGTGGATATTCAAACACATTCTTTTCTTTTACCTTTTGGAAAAAGACCGCGGTATAATCCACGTGAAGACTTCTGCATCGTCACATTTTCACTGCTTATTGTGATATTATAAGTTCCACTTTCTGGATCACTCGTTGATTCATATCCTTCGAGTGCTTCATTTGAAAGATGTGATGAAGATGACATTTTTTTTTCTTGAATCTCATTAATTATGCATATAAATCTTCTGTACTTAATTAGTTTCAAGTTTTGAAGTATATATAATGTGCCTACGTTGTTGCTTAAAAGAAAGAAAATTTTTCATGCTTCCTGTGTTTCTCCAAACTGTTTGTATGATGTATCGGCAACTGATCAAACACAAGTGTTTTAATTTCCTCAATAACTTTCATAAAGTTTGTTACTCTCTCCATTTTGAAATATATGTCGTTTTAGGGTTATGCGATTTTTTTTAAAATAGATATCGTTTTCACAAATCAATACACATTTGATCACTTTTTACCAATGTTACTCTTACATTGGAAATGAAACAATACTTATAATGAATTTCTATTAGTTTGTGATGAATTGTATAGAAAATAAATAAGGGTGTTTTTGTATTTTAACAACATTAATCAATGTCTTCTTGATTTTGATGAATTCTCTAGAAAGACATATAATAAAAAATAGAGAGAGTACATAATTTGGTTCGTCGAAAGTTCATTGTCTCCTTCAATCTATTTTCATGATATTCTTTTTCGCCCACGTAATAGCAGAGGACCGACAACGAAACGCTACTACGATAGATCGTATTTTGCTAAGGATTTTGTCGAATGATACACCAAAAGAAGTGTAAATATATTTGCACTCTGCGCTTAACAAAGATAAATAAATGTGATCGTTCATACTCATACTTCTTCTAGTTTTATTATAAGACATTTTACGTTCTCATAATTTTTATTTCTTGTGTTCTGTCAATAAATAAAATATTAAAAATTTATTTTCATATTTATTGTATTCTCTTAATTATTAGAAAATATTTTACGTTTTATTTTCAATTGAGAAAATACAAATAAAATTTAAAATAAATCAAAATATCTTATAATAAGAACCAGAGGGAGTAGTTGCCAACTTTTTACATTCAATGATTGAATTTTAAACTTGTCACTTTTACATGTAGAAAGAGATGTTATAACGGTGATAAATGCCAATGTGTCAATTAGTATCAACAAAAAGTTGAACCTAATAACTTATAGTTGTACCCGCCAACGGGAAATTAAATGTTCTCAAAAATTAATTAATAAATAAAAATGCCATGTTGGGCCAATCTGGTGACAATACGCAGTTCTTTCAGCTATGTTTTACTCAAGAAGTGCGAAGAATTTTTTCCACATGGTCGCATATCCTACTATATTAGAAACAAAAACCTCCCTTTCAAACACTTCATATGATTGGCACGTGGCATATAAAAAGTATTAAATTGCCCTTTTGTCTAAACCATAACTAAATTACTAAATCTCCCTTTGCACTTGACGTGACACGTTTTTTTTTTAAAAATTTTTTTCTTTATGTTTCATTCATTTAGAGTGGTTTTTTAAGTTAAATTAATCAATTAGGTTTTTGTTACAAAGTGTCAATTTTGTTTTAAGCGTATACCCTGCGGATGAAGCTTATTACAAAGCTATTAAAAATATCCGAAACTAAGTATTGATTTGGCAAGACCGAACATCAATAAATCATCTTACTAATGTTTAAATTTATTAGGATACTTTTATATTTTATCTAACATTTACTTCAATACATATATTCGATTAAGGCTATTTATATTTAATAAGTAACACTTATAAAATATTTCTATAACTTACATGGCGAAATACAATTTCTTTTTTTTTTTTGTAAAATACAATTATTTCTATGATCACACTTATAAAACATTTCTAAATCCTTCAAATATTTCTAAAATATATCGCTCCAAATACAAAATTTTATTTTTTTTCAAATATAAATATTTCTAAGATTTACAGATAGACTGGGCCAGAGTCGCGCATTGTGCAACCAGACATCACTAGTATATTAAGATGAGGAGAAAAGACGCCCAATTGAAGCTTGAACTGATTTGAAGGCTTGAACAACGTAGCAGCCAAGTCATACTACAAAAGGTTTCACTAGCACAAAACAAGGAATTACGTATGGATCGAAATGCCATACTTTTGCGGAGCGTTAGATCACTATATTTTACGGTCTACACATGAAACTAAGGAGCCTAATTAATTGACTTAATTATTTTTAAAAGGCTATCGTCTTATAATGCCTAATGATTTAGACAACATAATTTTGTCATCAAATACTCCTATAGCATTCCACTGAATGAAATTTAGCACGCCATGGAATAATTAAAATTGATTTGCATTCAGAAACACCCTAAAGGCACTTGTCTAGATCAGATATTTAGAATACCATATGCGATTATATACAATGTAAAACTAGAAAACCAAGAAATAATTAAAATAAGCACATTCATGTGTTCTACCTTTCAGAGGGGAAAAAAAACATCTAGATAAAGTTAAAAGTAGACTAAAGAGAGTTTCTTTCACTATATATTCTTGAATTTTCATGCTAAATCTAATCATAATATCTTGCTGAAATGAGATTACAAAAATACGAGTGGCTTGAAAAATCTAGTACGTTAATGAGTAAGATGAGACCATATATATATACATACACAAAAGCAATTAAGGATTTGTGTGATTATATTATCGGCTTCAATGCAATACTTGTGTTTTATTTGGGCGTATTATCTATTATTATCTTGTAATTGGCAAAAGCAAAGATGCATGTAATTTCCGGAGAAGCGCAAACATGTGGATTCAAGTTAAACACTTTTGGAAGCAAAAAGAATATGGCCTTGAGTTTCCTGATGGTAACAAATGAACTCAAAAAAAAAATAAAAAAAAATGAACTCAAATAAAAGCCTTCAATTATTTCTTTGGGAAACTCAACTCTTCATCATTATGCATGTTCTCATTTATTGAAAAGCAATGGGCATGATTTATATTCCCAAATATGATGGACGTCACATGTGTCTATTTTTGAAGATGTGATTTTGGATTGGCCTCTTTCTTTACTTTATCAATGTTTTGCTTAATATGATATAGTGATTGAATGCTCAGGACGAGCGTAGATCAGCAAACTTTGCCCTTTTAGTAAGAACACAACCAAATGTCAGATTCTTCGCATACTAAAACAATTACTTTATTTTTTTTATTAGACTAGAACTGATTCGGATTTCGCCCTTGTATATACTTGTATAATACTCCCTCCGTCCTATAATTATTGTCCAATTTTACTAAAATGAAAGATTTTATTTTTAATCAAACTTAACTATATTTTACCTTGAATATCCGGATATACCCCTACATAAGTAATTATTTAACCACAAATATTTTATGGATAATGTTTTTTACTAAGGACAAATGTGTAACTTGATCGATAAAAAGTTAAATTAGATAATAATTTTGGGACAAAATTTTTTGGGCAAAGTGAATAATTATGGGACGGAGGGAGTAATAAACAATTCATTGGTGACACATTTTTTTTTAGCGCACAATAATGTACTAGATTGGAACCCCAGGAATGTGGATGTCTACATAATTGCCTATGACAGACTGAAGCATATATATATATCAAACTCCAACTTCAACCAAACGGCCCAAACCTTATTAATGAAGCTCCTCCAATCCGGACAACTTCATCCCTTTAGATTAATCAGTTGGTTTGTACTGATATTCATCATTGTTACGTACTGTCCATATTACATAGATACTGATTCCGGCAAAATGAATTTAGGTGCTAATTATATAAATTGGTCGGCTGGAATCTTATATTTTCATATAAAATGGCGACCCAAAAAAGCCGACCAAGAAGGAGGGTTACTTTTCATTGGACTTAAAAAAACCTAATTATGAAACTGAAAATCTTACTGAAAACAACTAATTCGTATATGATGAAAATGTGGGAATGTATTAAGTAATTTGTATGAAATGTCAAGATAGAATATGGCGAAATGCTTGATGATGTTCTGAAACAACACATTAACAAGGCTACACTTCTATCTACGAGATTTGATCCCAATGCAAGAACTGCATTGGGTTTAATTTGTTAGTCAAGGGACGACGGAGAACTTGAGTTGATCAAGTTCTTCCTGAATCTGAATATTGGAGCTTCATTCCTGAGCATTTGGGAAAGGTTCAATATCATTAAGGTACTCATCACTCCAAAAAAATCATTCCTGACAAGATTTTCCAGTTAATGTCATTTAATAAACCCGTTGATAACTTGTTGACTTGTGGTAGTTATTTGATTTACTCTTACTGGTTATATATGGTCTATATATATTACTATATGGACCATGGTTTATACAAAATAATATACCTCCGTCCTACAAAAATAGTTTACATCGAGTTTTCAAATTTGTATTAAAAACAATACAAAACTCAAAACTCAATATTAGATTTGTGGGACGGAGGAAGTATAACAATTGTTCACGTTGTTTGTACGAAAAAAAATGATTGTGCACGTTGTGAATATTCAGATCGGAGAGGAAGCAGAAGATTCATATGATGATTGACCATTGCTTTCTGACCAAACTGTGCCATCAAAATCTCAAAGCTTTTGCTAGTAACTAACCGACGATAATATGTCAGGAGGGTGCAGATATATTGTAATACACTATTCGAATTCGAAAAACTTTTTAATTTCTTTGGTTTAATTATTTCGATGATCGATCAATTACGTACATATAGGGTCACAACTCTTCCGGATTTTGTTCCTTTAATTGTCGCATACTTATCTTTTTCTCGGGAAGAAGATACTATATGATTCTTCACCAAACTTACCATCTCAATCTCAAGCTTCTGCTAGTAATTAACCAGGTTGGCATTGAGCAATTTTTCATCCACAACTTGCAAATCAGTTTCGATGTGCTCAGTGCTTCTGTCTTCTTAATTAGATCATTGTTTTGCAATGTTTAGAATTTAATTACTTGGTTGTTCACACTACAACAAAAATGGGCTATTAATACCTTTATGGTGGGACACTTTTCCTAAAATGTGTCTTATTATATGTGTATTAGGACATTTGCTACAAAGTGTTTTATTAAAAATGAAAAAGTGTATTCATATTATGAAACACTATCATAAGTGTACTATTTG